TCTGAAAGAATTTTTAATTATTTTGAAGTTAACTGTACATAACTTTTTTCATTTAACTAATAACCATGTAATTTTTAAAAGACGTATAAATTATTTTTATAAATACGTATGATTTCCTAAATAAATTTTATCCGACTAAAAAGTGTTTTATTTAATTAGTTATTGATATTGATATTTAATGCAAAACTTTACTTAGTCCAGTAAAAACAGCCTCATTCTAGCTGATTGATCACGTATATCTATTTAGTAACAAATGCTGCCGTCTAAAATGATAAGCTTCTCTAAAATTTAAAGGTGACCATGGATCAAAGAAACGGAAAGGAACAGAAACAACACACCATACAATTGATAAGCTAATAATATAAATAGATGTATTATGCCTTGCTGACACTTAATAGACCAATGCCGCATATAAGGGGCCTAGTACTTTTACATACATCTCCAATACCGCGTATATGATGGCAAAAATACTTTTATATTTTTTTTTGTTATCAAACTTAATGTTGTAATATTTACAATTCATTTATTTATATCAATTTATTTATAACTAATTCTGAACTTAAAATTAATCATATGATTAATAACAATATAAATAAAGCAAAATGTATAAAGACCAAATTATTAGACCCACGATACGTTTCTATGTAAAATCTTCATTATCAGGGGATACTCATCTTTATTGTTTTTATGCGACTGAAACCGTTTTGCACTTGTTTACGTTCGGGTACCAATTGGTTAAATTGGGCGATATATAATATAAATTCGATGATTGAATTAATTAGACGATATATTATATATGGGCCATTCTCACGAAAACTGTCATTTTTCAGTTCATAAAATCCCAAAAAAGTAAAGTGAATAAAAAGCTCTGAAACTTTTTATATTAATAGAAATATGTAATGGCATTATAAAGAAAGTATATATCCTATAAATTATACTTAATATTTAAATTAATTAATTTTTTAAATAATTAATTTATAATTNATATATATATATATATATATATATATATATATATATATATATATATATATATATATATATATATATATATATATATATATATATATATATATATATATATATATATATATATATATATATATATATATATATATATATATATATATATATATATATATATATATATATATATATATATATATATATATATATATATATATATATATATATATATATATATATATATATATATATATATATATATATATATATATATATATATATATATATATATATATATATATATATATATATATATATATATATATATATATATATATATATATATATATATATATATATATATATATATATATATATATATATATATATATATATATATATATATATATATATATATATATATATATATATATATATATATATATATATATATATATATATATATATATATATATATATATATATATATATATATATATATATTTGTACCTTATACAATTTGAATCGATAGGCAGCAAATTTGGTATATATACGTTCGTAGACACAAAGAAAACTGTCCACACCGTGAAAAATTTTTCATGATTGTGATCACCAAAAATAGTGGCAACTACTCTACTCCTAAGTGGGGATTTATTGCGTGAAAATCCAAGGATACTTCCTGATGCTTTGAAACACCCAGAATGTTCTTTTACACTATTTGGTGTAGAGTAGCCGCCACCAACCGCAATATTTGTTATTTAGTTACACTGAAATTTGCAATTACAGTAAGATGCGCATAAGTAGCAGTAAAGTGTTATTTTTACGAGTGAAAATAAAGTAATAAATGAATTTTTTAGGTTGTATATATACACCAATTCTTAAAACAAAATGTGTTTGTAAATTGAGAATAAGGATAGCAGATAATATTATGACGAATTCGAAATAGGCTTAACAGAGCAGGAGCTGATAGAAATTGTACTTTATGAAATTGTTTAATACAGTTTACAAAATTGAAAATTAAAATATAAAAATCTTTATTATATAACATACACATTTTTCGCAGCAAACTTCAGTTTCTACAGGTAAAAAAAACATTAATACAACCGAAAACACTTCGAAACTCGTTACCGTTAATAAACAATTACAAGCAAAACCAAAACGCGCCAACATTGGAGTTTTCAAGAGGTAAAATATTTAGCGCATGGTACAGATATAAAGATCCCATATGTATAGCTAATATTTATTTTGGTGAGTTAAACTTATAACTCATATGATGGTTAATTTAATAGTAAGAAGAAGTTTCGTACTAAAAAAAATTGTTCCCAAACCTGCTAAAATAGGGTAAAATTATCCTTTTTTTCTGACTGTATGAGGACACCAAAACATTGGTAATTTATACCGAAAAACACTGAGGTAATGATTTCAGTGAAATTAACAATAAAATATGGTTTTATAATATATGATAAAATATGCTTATACGTGGTAAAATTTGGTAATTTTATCACCATAGGCATGATCATGGCATGAAAATCAATATATTGTTTCAATTTACTTTTCAGTTTTGTATTTTTTGAAAACCAAAATTTCTGGCATGCTTTAATGACATGAATGGAGAAATTATCAAATAAACTTCGTAAATTGATATTAATAAATTTTGGTTTCATTACCAAATTTTTTTTTACTAGAAATGTCATCATTATCATGCACTAATTAGAATTTATTTATTCCCGTGCGAAATGCACAGAGAAACTATCAATAAAAAATATGTTGCGTATTGGGTACCATATTAGGGTAATTATCCGTTTCGTAAGGCAGAAAAAACTTATTGCCACAAATTTAGACTAGGCATCGATATTGGTATAAAAAGTTTTTCTTATCACAAGACCCATAACGGCCATATTTAATACCACACTTAATTAAGCATCACTAGCGTCAATAACAGTTTGAAAATTGTAGTCAGTCTATAAATAAGTACCGATATTAGTTCCCCAAAAACGATTATACAAATATTAGTCTCGTTACTATTTATTTTCGAGAATAACAATTATATTTTCACTATTATATTATATTTAATTTTATTAATTTGACGGAAAATATCCTCAGTGGTAAATGGATGATGGGTTGGAGTCCCCTTGCTGTTAGGCAAACCGTGGGGAGTTTTCGTGGTTTTATTCTCCATGTAACTCAAATGCGAATTAGCTTAATCAAAAAGTTCCTCCACGAAGGCAATTTTTTTACAATACCTGATCCAGGAGTTACATTGTCTTACGGATTGGGTTCAAAAGTACAAGGTTACGGAGTTTAACATTAGTAGTCGTAAGCCCAAATTTGGGTCGGCGGTTCACTAACGTTTCTAAAATTGATTTATTTGGTAATTGACAGAAATTTAAATGAAAAGTAAGTTTTTAATTAACAATTTAATTTAATGGAGAATAAGTTCCTATTCGTATTGAACCGTAAAAAGGTGCCTTAATGTTATTGACGTCCATGTTGCTTAATTAATTTTGGTGATTGGTGCAAATTAAAATAAGAAAAAGTTGGTTACTGCAAAGCTAAATTAATGTAAGAAAAGTAAATACTGTTAGTTTACGAAAACCATAAAAAGAAATCACCATATTATTATTGATGCCAATGATGCTCAACTAATTTTGGTAATTGATATTACTGGTATTATGTTAATTGATGTTTTTAATGGGTACTAATTTCACTAATATTGGTGCCAAAATATCAAGATGCATACTATAGGTACTAAGGAAGTAGGCTTTTTACAGAAAAGGATAAATACCGAAGAAAATTGCTCATTATCTTAATTTTTGACTAAGACATGTTGATGTGGAGTAATAGAATTATACCAAATGATACTGAATATTGTTAATCCTTACTTTGATGGGATAAACTTCTAAAACATCCTTTGGTTAATTTCATAACTAGTAAACTCACCGGGGAGAGCAGTAAATAACAATAAATTAAATTTTTTTTTTTTAGCTTTATTAGCTGCGTTGGTAAATGCTTTTAATTTTATGTATGATTTCGTCGTGTTGATCAACACCGTTGATGAATCATTGTTGATGAAGACCTATTTACCCCGGATGTGGAAAGGGTATTCAGCTAGTTATAAGTGCTTAATATAACTGATTAATAATAATATATCGATGAATTTTTTACGAAACACTAATATTTTCATTATTATACTTGATATAAAGCGCAACAGTTTAGGTTCGTATGAAATAAATCTTTAACTTGGTAGGAAGTAAACTGTAAATATTTCTAATTTTAAAAATTTTTAAGGGTTATATTCTCCCGCTACGTCTTCGAAAATATCGGTAAATAAGTATTAGACTCAGGGAAACTTAAAGCAGTAATATTAGTCAACTTTAGTTATTTGTATCTATGTTGGTCAAATATTACTCGTTTTGAAAAATGTTTGATAAGTCCTTCCAGCATCAAGCTAAATATATTTATTTCAGAGCTGAAATTAATGAATATGAAAAGTTCTACAAATATTAAGGTGAAAGAAGTCGTCATGATTTTAGCTGTCAAAATAATTTCACGTATTGTGGATCTTGATAAAGGGTGCCAATTTTGAGCGCTGTAAAACGTACCTTTATCTTTGAGCGTTCAAAACATGAGATTTTTTCCACTTTAATTTTTTAAACCAGTGAATATTTTTCAATGACAAGTATACTTCAAGTATTACATTTATTGTGTACAATAATCAAGCTAATAAATACACTCATGGACAAAAAAATCAGCGCAACAAGGAGTCGTCAAACTGAAACGATAATTTACATACGTAATGACTACTTTGATATAAATAAATTATTAGAAAAATCAAAGATTATCGTTTTTCTTTGATTTTCTAATCATTTACTTATATCAAAGTAGTCATTACGTATGTAAAATTTCGTTTCATTTTGACGACTCCTTCTTGGCGAGCTAATTTTTTTGTCCATAAGTGTATATTAAAGTAGGGCAGGCGCAGGTTAGCCATAAAAATGTTAGGCTTTCAAAATTTGAATAATTTTAATCAGAAGTGTAGTCATGAAAAATTATTTATTAAAATATTGAGAGTTACATGCTGGGTTAAAAGTTACACAATCTTAAAAGGAAATTTTAAAAAAAAACATTTTCATATTTTTTTACTCAAAAAAAAAACTCATTCCACAACAACAAGCTCTTTTCAAGTCATATGCATTCGTATTTCTCTTCACATTAAAGCACATGGTTTATCACTTCTTCTGTAGTTTTCTAACGAATGTGTACCTTTCATCAGTACGTACACATTTTATCGGTACATAAACATTTTCCTAACCCACATGTTTCATCACATCTTATAACACTTAACAGTTAGTTGCGTACACTTCGCCAGTTCAACATCAATTCCAAATATATTGTTTTTCTTTTCTTCGGATCAAATTTATCAAACAATAAAAAGAGCGATGATAACATTAACACTTTTTTTTGAAGTCATAGACATCAACGATGAAAGTATATAGATCAGCAATAGCCTGTAAAGAAAACATTAATCATTAGAATATATATTTCATAAGATCAATAATTTCTGAGAACAGAAAAATGGTCCAACTGAGTATTTTTTATTATACGTAAACAGGTCGTGTTTTTTTCATTAAAAAGTATGGTTGCTTTTCTATTAATATTTATGTCCAGAAATAATCAAATATTCGGCATATTATGCTCCATAGTTTCATTACCGGGGGTGTAATGTAGTATGCCATCGCGTGGTGCACCCTGTGTAATGACAAATCTACTACAATCTACAGAGGGCAGGCAGAGCATTTGGGGGTTTACCGAGCAGTGGTAGGAAACATCTACGACAGATACTGGAGGGCACGTGAGCTATTACAAGCTCTGCAAACTGAATAAATTTCCATTAACTTTTGTTATGTTTTTGATGCTTATGTTTTTGATATTTTTACGCTTTTTCTTTGTTCTAATGTTCTTAGTACTCTAATGTTTTAAATATAAATATAATCTTTTAATGCTTTCATGTTAAATTTTTAAATCGTTGCTAACTTATGTTCAATGTCTGTTCTAACAGTATGCTTACTTGGAGTGTTTGCACACACCAACGATCAATTTATGCTGCTAAAAATGAAAAAATAAAAAAAAATAACTGACAAGTTTCATTACGGTGAAAAAGTACAGCATGAAAACTGATAAAATCCCTTCTTGCAATCATCCAAAACTGCATGTTTGAAGCACGCATATTGGGCACCCATAATTTATACTATCGTTTCTAACAAACCTTTTAAGTAATTATTGAATGGTTACAATATTTTTCTTTTTTCCTATAATTTACATGTACAGTTTTAGATATTAGGTACAGTTATTAATTAACGAGGCAGGCGAGATAAAATCAAAATTATGCTTCATTTAAAAAAGTGAAGTTGCTGCGGTAACAATATTGATTTCAAATAGCATATGAAACCAAAGTTTACACAATTGGCTCAAACAACAGCAATTTTTTTTTCTTCTGCAGGAATAAATTTGGATGACTATAGTAAGACAGAGAAATAAATTCCTTAAACTAATATAGGCAATAATTTTGAGTCTTTGATTTTCATGAAATGAATTATTTGAATTAGCCTTTGATTTTAAATTTAACTATAGTATTCATACTAAATAACTATTCAACAGCAACAAAAATCAGTACAAATTAAAAAAAAAACATTCATCAAAACATGAATGAAAAACAATTAAAAAATAACAGCTTTTCGATTTTTACCGATAAAACTGCATTTCTAATACCGTATATCCCCGTGTATAAGTCGACCCTCTATTTTTTATTACGAGATAGCAAATTTCTGATAGGTCGGGTGTATATGTCGACCGCTGATAATAACAAATATGAAAATTTCGAAAATTGAAAAAGAATAATATTTAATCTGCGAAATTGCTTCAGGTAAAAAAATATTTCATATTTAAAACGCTTACAAAAACAAAATTTACGCGCTGCTTTTAAGAGACGTTATGAGGGTAATTCTTTGGAAACATGACAATTCGGAAAAAAATTTCTTAAAATTTAAAGTTTTCAAAACATTCTAATTTTTTTTTATATTTATTTAGTTACATTTATTAATATTTTACAGACAGCAATGTAGTTTATTGACATTTGCTCGAGGAAAAAAAAATAGATATTCACCAAATTTTGAATGCCAGGAAAATTACATATTAGCTTAGATGTTAAGAAAACAGTCATTTTAAGCAAATAGTAATTAACTCAACTTAAGGAACTCAAAAAGACAAAGTTGAAAAGTTAATTTTAACATTTTTATGTAAATAAATTCAAAAAATAATTATTGTGAACAATTTAAACATACACTTTTTTCTCGGCTTCTCGTTTTTTCTTTCTTTCATTTTTTTTCTTTGCTCAGTTTATTTTTCCTTGATTGCTAATAGTAAAATTAATTTTATAATAATTTACATCGGAAATTATTTTATTTTACTACTAAAATTTAAAATTTTTCAATTCATTTTATTTTACTACTTTATTACATTCTTTAATTTATACACCCAAGTAGAAAAAAACTATGACAGAACTAAATTGTAAAGTGATGTTCCTAGCCTATTTTTTATATTTTAACTATCTGTGCTTTGAAAAAGAAACCCAAAGCCTTTATGTTAGATGGACCATATTTTTTTTAATTAATTCTTTTATCCACTGCAGAAAGAATCAAAAATGTTATTGCTGTTTATATGTACAGAATAAAATTGTGTAAAATAATCAATCATTAAACAAATAAATAACTTTGATTACGTACGCGCATATTATAATCTTACATAATTTGGGTATTAGGTTAATATTTGCTTTCCCTCTTTACATTATACTGCTTAAAAAAATTTCTGGAAACTGGCATTCAAAAGCCAGGAAAATGACAGCCAGGATAATGACAATTTGCCATTTTATAGCACTTAACTTTACTTTAATTTAACATTTCGGCCTAAGACGTTTTGGAAAATGGCAACATAAAAACCTACTCACCTAGTAAAATTTTTTGAAATAGATTTTGAGCCAGAAAGTTGATTCTTTATTCCTGAAATAAGACATGTTCTGATAGGATGGTATTCAAATCAATATCTTAACCTAAGATATTGATTGCTGGCTCTATCTATTTTGGTTATAAATTACTAAAAAAAAGTGGCCAGGAAAATGACTGATTTTCATGTGACAAACAAATTATTGAGAGAAAAAAAAATTTAGACAAAGTTTTTGGAAATAAGAGAATATATGCTGCATATATTCTAGAAATGCTTACAACTGTTGAGATAAAAAATTTCGATATTGAAAAATTTATGAGAAGTTTTGAAGCTAGTTATTATTGGAAATATTATTTGTGACATACCAGGAAAATGACATTTTGAAATTCAATTAAATTTTTTAAGTATGCAAATCAGTCAATGCTTATGCAAGATCATTTTAAATTGCTAACAGATATGCTATTTACTAATTTTTTCAAACAAAAGTTTTTTTAGTAGTATAGTAATAGACAAATATAAAGCTAAAGACCGTCAATTGTCGTATTTCGTGAGAATCACTCATGCATGAAATGGTACTAGACGCGTTGCAAACTGTGGATTCAGATGTAATCATATAATCTTTTAAAAAGTGTGGAATTTTAAATTCTTGGGATGGGGTGAAGACAATGTTTGTAGCACACAACAGATGAGAATAATGTAGAATCTATAGCAGAGTGGGAACTACTAACCTTATTGAATCTAAAACAGATGTTATTTTAGAATTGTTAAATTTGTAGCTTTATGTTATATTTTCTAAATTTTTATTGTGTTATATTTTTTTAAAAAAAAACTCTTGAATAAACAAAAGTTCTTATTCTTAATTTTTTTCTGAACTTAATTTAAAGTATTGTTTCCAAAAAAACTAATTTTTAAGAGAATTTGATGATGGAAAATGCAAAGGTAATTTCTTAAAACATATTAAAAATAGTTTTTGAATGAGGAAATTGATACCGAGTTATTCATATCTATCTTATTGTTTATAATGCATCGATTTCACAATCAGCAAATGTCCGACTAAATTACCGGTATATAAATCGAACTCTGATTTTTGTAAAATTTTATGGTTCTGAAAAGTCAATTTTTATGCTAATATATACGGTAGTTATTTTTATTTACTTTAAAAAATTATTTTTCATTTGGGGCTTGTATAGTAAATGAATAATTTCACAATTTTCTGTTTATAGAAATAAGTTAATAGTTTAAATTTACTAGACAGTCTACAAAACTTTATATTCTACTAAGGATTATATGAAAAGGACTTAGAAATAAATTTTAGTATGATAATTACTCATCGCATTGAATAACGTATATCAATGAATTATATGTATATCTTTAAGCTTTCATTTTACTGCTTAAATTATTACAGATAAAGGTAAAAACAAATTTAATATTAGTAAATAAATTTACATAATATTAAATTCCATTACCTTGTTTATAAATTTAATTGACAAAATTGCTTACTTATTTTGGACAAATAAAGTAAACTCCATATAACAGTTCTTTCGGTGTTTAGCAAAATTGCAAGGCACTTTATTTCTTTCCTTCAAACGTTCCTTTATTGACTTCTATCAAAATTGGAAGATCCCCGTGATTTTCGATGACCTAAATACAAAAAAATATAAAAATATATAAGTCTATTTCGGAATGCTAAGAGAGTAAACATCTTAAATGATTTGACTTTTGTAATATAATCCTTTTGTAATTGGTCTCTGTCAGGTTCGGGGTTTTGCTACACTGCAAAAGAATTGGGATCAAATTACAGTAAAAAGTGAAGGTACTTTTTACCGTGGAAAGTGCTGGTACTCTTTATGGGGAATTCACTTTTAAAGGAACATGAAAAACTCTGATTTGACGTGATTTTTACATAGATTATTTTAATGATTTTATCACTAATTACCGTAAAATCACTGAATGACTCTAATTAAATAAATATTACAGAAAAAAATTACTGTTTAATATTTGGAGTAAAAAGGTTTTTGCGGAAAATAGATTTTACGAAATATGCAATCAAAAGGCTGGTACTTTATACCTGAATTGTTTACAGTGTATAAAGCCATAAAAAAGTCTCACTTAATATTTCTTCACAAAAGCTTCTTTGTTATGATTTTTACACAAAGACATTTTACTCAAAACATATTTTTACTTACAAAATTACGAGATAAGGAAGATAAATATTATTTTCTGAAAACCACTTTTTTGAGCAGACCATTTTGCGAAGTGTTAGTATAAAATAAAATAGTTCCTACTGAAATTATGTCGAATATTTAGCAAAAGCTTTAAAATAAATCAACACTATTTCATTTCATACCTTACACTCAAAATACACTATTTAATATTTAAGCAAATAAATAGTCCGATTAATAAAATATGTTCTAAAATTACATTTTGACTTGCTGCGTATTAAAATCAATTAAAACATCATTGAAGTTGATATTACACGTTGATAATATCGACCAATATTCAGAATCCCTTATCTTTACAGCAATATTCGAGAACCTTTGATGGTTTATTATTTGGAATATTCACTCCAATACCTGATTCTTAGTTGAAAAGGCAATTCAAAAATTCCTCGTGCTTTAATCATATTTTTATATTTTATAACTTACCTGTATTGGGGGTCTTTGACACAATGCAAGGCGTGGCATAGACGCATTCTTCTTTTTCTTTCTGGAAAATCATATCAAGAAACATTAAGAATACACATTACATTTTTAATATTACGATCTTGCAACAAATTATATTTATTCATTTGAAATTAAACGTATTTTAAAAAAAGTCTAGTATTAGAAGAGGGACTACTTAATGTGACAACTTACTAAATGCTTTTAGTGGCACAGGGTTAAATATGTTATACTTCTCGTAAAGGACAGAAAATAGAAGAAAAAATTGTACTTACAAATTTGTAGCGTACTCAGTTTAATGCACAAAGTCATTTTCTTAACATTTATATTAAAAATAAAAAAGGTCGAAAATACTCGTGAAAACAAAATTATATATGGCTAGCAGAGCTTATGGCACTTAATCAGAATTATAACATGAATCGTATTTTTAAATGTAAATTAATCAATTTGTAATTTTATCTCCACCTAGAAAGGTTACTTATTTGGAAACAGTTAAGAATGTCTTGTGACACAACCCTTAATCGTTGTTTTATAAAATAATGTCATGAATAATCATAATTTAATAATAAGAATACGGTTCTTCCTCTTCTTAGGCATTACAGCCGGTTACCGGTCAAGACCGTATCAGTCAGTTTACCCCATCTAGATCTATTTAATTGTATATTTCTCCAACTGCTTTCCCTTAACCACTACTCTGTTTAACCATCTTGTTCCTCTTTTTCTTTTTCCCTCTGGCGTTTGAAAGGCTTTTTCTTAATGGGATTTTCATCGCTATTTCAAAATACATGTCCTAGCCACCTTACATAAGAAACCTTTATCACTTTTACTATGTTAGGTTTTTTGTATTTTGATTGTAATTCACGGTTTACTGCACCACAAATGTTTCTTAATAGTTTTCTCTCGAAAGTCCTTAGTTTCTATTTCGTCTGCTTTGTTAATTGCCCAGCATTCCCTGCCATATAAAAATATTAGTCTTATAAAATACGGGTACCTGTATTAAAAAAACCCTGTCGCATTTTTAAATAAAGTTGTAGTACGTACTATAACTTTATTTAAAAATGCGACAGAGTTTTTTTAATAAAAGTTTTTGTGACCATATACTGTGACAAATAACTGAGGCATAATAACACCTTTGTATTGCATACATTTCAATGCTTAAATTTTTTATTTTATTTGCCGTACAGAACTATGAACAAAAGCTTCTCAGCTGCTTCTTTTAAAATTGTTATTTCACATTTCCCAATTCTTTCAAAAATATTCCAAATTGTTTCAATTACTATTATAAATAAAAGATTATATTGTCATGGATTAATAGTAGATAAAACTAACACTAATAGGTTTTCATTCTAAAATTATGGTAAAATAACCAGCAGCAGTATGAACATCTAATTAGTCATAAAGTTTACGGTAAGGAACATATTTGACCTTTGTGGTATTAAAACCATTTACAACTAGCATGGTTAGAAAATCATGAATAGAAAACTATTCGGTTTTTAACCATTTATAACTAGTATGATTTCAAAACCTTAAAATAGAAATTTAACAGCACATTTTAGATAGTTTAGCAGCTTTAGAGTGATGTCATCTATGCGTGAAAAAGAGTACGGTATTCTAATAGCCCAGGGTCACAAATTGGGGATTGCAGTACACTGAATACTCTTCATATATTGAAGGGAATGGAGGAAATATTGTGGTGTCCACGTTTGGACTCTGACCCCTATTCTGTCGGTCATAAGATTGACAGATTAGCCCTCTCGGATATATTATGTACCTATCTGCAAGGAACTAACTGGCTTAATTAGGAGGGTCTAGTTGTTGTTATAAAATCCTCGTTGTTTAGCTGTATTAGGTGAAAACAGTTAATAAACGGTTTTTCTCACAGTTAACAATTTGGATACCATCTTATTTATGATCATTTGATTATTATGTACGAATATGGTAAAATAGTAATTAAAAATATTGTTGTCTAACCATTTTTTTCGAGAAATTTCTAACAGTAAATTGTATAGCTAACTAAACAAATTTCTTGGACAACTCTAAATACTTCACTAAAAAGCAAAGTTTTCAATACTATTTTAATGTTATTTTTTGTTATTTCAATACTATTTAATGTTATACTTTAAAAAGTTTTGAAAGTATATCTTATCAAAATATACTCTTTCAAATATTATATATCCGAAACAGTTAAAAGGAGTCTATAAAAGCCACACATCTCTGCTAAATATTCTGGATCAAATTACGTTATTATCTGTAGATTTTACAGTAAAATTCATTTTGTCGTAACATTTTATTGATAAAAATACTGATATACTGTAATTTTTACTGCTTTATTTACTGACACTGAAATGAAATAAATATTTTTGTAAACACTACGGTATGAAACTTTAAGGTGAATATGAATTATTCGGGAAAATAGATTTTAAGAATGTTGCGTTCATAGTGTCAGTACTTATTACCGCAATTTGATCCAGAATATTTTTCTGTGCATGATTTGCGAAGATAAAAAATTATTTCTGAAACATAAATTACACATTCTATGCTGTAAGAGTTTGGTTTCATTAACACAAAATAATAATTTTGTGCAGTGAAGGCATGTTTCTGAATTGTAAATTAGGCATTTTGTGCTATACTGAAATTAGATATTTTGTGCTTTATAAATACTAAATAATTTTTGCTCTTTAATTCATTTTTTTTAGGAATAAATCAGACAATTTTTTACTGCCTGGGAATGTTTCTGAATCATTTCGGGTTGGGTTTTTATTGATTAAGTAATTCAAACATAAAGAATCGTATAAAAAAATTTTTAAGTTAACTCACTCTTCTAGGTGACGATGGTACTTTATACAAATTTTCACTTCTTTGGCTGTCAAGTGTTCCGTGTATTCTATTGTAATGTTCTCTATCAAAGCTCGTCACTCTGTTTGTTGAATAAGGCATGGGAAAATAAGCTGGCTCTTGAGCACTCTCATAATTATCAGAAAGTGGAATATTTTCCTGTTTCACAGTTTCATTTCTTTCAGCACCTGAAAAAGGTTTTTTTCCACATTGCACACGTTTATAAGCATCATACAAATATAAAAATGTCATATATTTAAAATCTGATTTGTCAGGAGCCACTCTAATGATTTCGCGCAAAACTTTTATGTTTTGCCACGTATTATTATATTCTTCAAAATGATGCTGAAAACTATATTTTTCCACAATGCATATGATTATGAGCATTATACAAATATTAAAATATCGTACATTTAAAATTCGATTTCTCAGGAACTAGTCGACCGATTACGCTCAAAATTTATATTTTGTCTTGTAGTGTTATATTCTTCAAAATTATGTAAAGAAATTATACTTTACATTTCAAAATGCTTGTTACGCTGTTAAATGAAATAATAAAAAATAATAAATTCTTACAAAAAATTATTTTTGCATGGAATTATCTTTGGATAAACACATTTTATAATTCTGCGCAAACACTTTTCAATACAATTAAAAAGTTCTCGAGATATTGTGAAGTACGCAAAAAGTAAAATAAACATTAAGGGATCCAAACTTCGGACTACTCTCCAGACAAAACTGTTGGAACCATATTTCTCAGATTGCTGTTGCCCCTATATTTTGGGAGGCAGAATCCAAATTCATCGAAAAGAAAAGTATGTCTAATATTACTGAAACTTATGATTTTGTTTTAAATACCTAAAATTGAAATGTCAAAATAAACTAATTTTTCTAAATATTACTCTTGTCAGAAAATTAATAAATAATTTTTATTGTCACTTAAATAAATTAGTAACATATGCCTGTTTTTAGCACGAACGTTTGAATAGTTAGTACTCTACTAATATTAGAATAACAGACTACAAATTAGATGTTACAATAATTAAAATAATTATTACCTGATGTTATTTTCTTCTAAGCAAAAAAAGTTTTTATAAAAGCACTTAAGTAACATTGTTTAGCATAAAATATCGTTTAATTTTTAAATAATTGTTGCAAATGTGATTTATATAAAAGTAATTTCTTCGAATTAGACATCTTTTTCGTTTAAATGCTTTAAAAAGGAATAAAGAATGATGTTTGAATTGATGTTGGTAGAAATTATTTAAAAAAATAAACCTGATAAGGGAAGTTCGTTTGTAAAAGTATTTCTTTAAAGCAGTTTAACTTTAATGTCAACCTGTATAAATATAATTTCAGTGAAAAATTTTGAAACTTACTTTCTGCAGTTCTGTATTCAGCTCTTGGAGATTTTTTCTTTGTAACAATACAAACTGTACAGAAGACAAATATAACAACTGTAACAGAGCTTATGACTGGAACAGTGATCGTAAGGTGATTGTAGAAAAGGCCAGATGACCCAACAACTTCTGATATGTGTGGAGGATACTCTGTTAGAATAAATTTTACATTACAATTCACATTAGAAATTATATGTTAAATGTTACGTTTAGATCGCCAATTTTAATGTAAATGAAATTTGGAGCTCCTAAAGGGGAAAAATTAAAATAGCCACAGGCAGAACAATTGGAGTTTTCCCCCAGGAGGGAAAAACAAAAAAGAACTGTTTTTTTTTTCTCTTAGAGATTTGCATGAGTAGTGCATAGGTGGTGCTCGTTTAGAAATATTTCGTTATATTTTGGTTGTTAGAAATATATCTGTATTTTTTTTATATTTTATTTTCCGTTTTTACGTGATATTTTTACTTAATATGTTCTATTTTATTTGTTGTAAAATTTTTTTGAGTGCTCATCACACTATTGTATTGATATATTTTGCTTTGGCTATTTTGATACAATATCAGAAAGCACACCTTTTTGCCGATATCATCGTGTAAGCTGATGAAAGGATTATATCTTTTATTCTCCGGATTTTTATTTCTTTTTTTCCTCTTTTTGGAATTTTTTTCCGGATTTTTTTAAATATTTGTTTTTTATTATTTTCATTATTTATTTTCCTTTTCCCTTTTTTCATTGTTCTGTAATTTTTCCATGTTTTCTTTACATTTTGAACTTAATACTTGAACTTGTCTGTATAGTAGAAAATTTATGATAAAATGTATGAATAAATGCAGAAAATTTTACTTTTTGTACATGAAACCCTTATAACTTCTATGCTGTTTGTCCGATCATCGCTTATTTAGTTTCATTCAATTTATGGGTAAACATTTACACACGAAACATGTTCAAATGTTCTTCAGATAATATATTTATGATGTATTTTAATGTAATGTGTGTGCATTAGTACATGACAAAAGCAGTACTTTTTTTAAACTAAAAACTCTAGCAATTTCTTGACTATTCATTATATTGACTCCTGTGTAGTTAGTTTCATTCAACTCATAATAAAAAAATATATCAGAAACAAATATTTTACTCATTTAGAAATAAATGCCAGATTTTTAATTAGTCCGAGTAAAAATTGTACTTTTCTGTTTAAAAGTTTTATAGCTTCTAAACTATAGTTATTGGTCCCATTTGATTCAGCGTAAAACAATACATTAGAAATACCACCTCATTTCCTGTATAAATTACTTACCCTTCCCTCAAATTTATTTCCCTCAGCTATTTCCTTTTTAAAAAGGCTGAAGCGTACAGGGACATTTTCACCCATTTTTTTAATAATAGCACAGCAAAGCTTTCTGTGAAAAAAACCTTCAGTCGTATTTTTTCCCGAAGAAAAACCTTTTTTTACGATAATTACTGGGCTGTAAGTAACTAAAAAAGTTTCTGCATCCAAAGTATTTATATTTTATTGATATTTATAGTTTCAGTATTTCTATCGCATGCATAATGAATATATTCTAATAATTCTGCAGAATTTTTTTAAAATCTGTATTATATATTTTTTTTAAAAATATTAAGTACAAAGTAATTACCTTGAGTGAAAGCATATTTTTGTGGTGCAAGAGCCTGAAGTGAATAAACTGCGCCAAATAACATTAAATTCTTTATGTAACGAATTTTTATGTTATACTGTTCTACATTTATTATATTCTAATAATTACTGGACTATAAATATTTTAAAAATTTCTGCATCCAAAGTATTTATATTTTAATGATATTTATAGTTCCAGTATTTCTATTGTATATATACTGTTCTAATAATTCTACAGTATTTTTTTAGAGACTACAAGCAGCTTTCAATTATCTATATTTTTTATTAAAATATTAACTACAAGGTAATTACCTTGACTGAAAACATATTTTTGTGGTGCAAGAGCCTGAACTGAATAAACTGAGCCAAATAACATTAAATTCTTTATATAACGAATTTTTATGGTATTAGAGAGATTTAACACTTCTGTGAACCTTCTACATAAGTTCACGCACGTATGTTCTGAAGTAACTTAAAATGAGGTTTCTGCATCATGTGTATGACCAGTTAGTTTAGTACCATACACGCAAGAATGTCAGAAAGTTGGGATCGAAAATACAAATAATTTTTGACATTAATTATAAGCGTCGGAAGACACCAAATTCTCTTTAAATTTGAAAGTCGAGAAGTACTTAAATTATTATTGAGAAAGTCTAAGAGTATTTAAATATGCATTTAATGACATTAAACTATTCAATCTGAGAACCTAGATAAAGAGAAATTTACAATAAACAAGTTCATTTAAATAAGTACTTACTTCCTGAAAGCGTCAATGTTGCGAACACATATTCTGCATCAGTTGATCCCGCATCATTTCTAGCTGTTATTAAAAGGGAATACCATGTACCGGGTGTCAGATCAGTTATGGTAACAGTCTTCTGCTCAGGAAGTACTTCATTACTGACCAGTATCCAGTCACCATTACCTCGTACTTTGTATTGGATAATAAAGAATCTAATGAAGCAACCTCCACTGTGCCAACTGTTCAGATTAATCAGAACAGTGCTTGAATTAACGGTGAGTAAAGCTCTTTTATCTGGAGCCAAAGGAGCTATAAATGAAAAAGTGGTGAAGTTTTCAGAATGAAGTAGTTACCATCCTTTTTGGTGTTCAGATAAATAAAAATTATTTACAGTGCATTTTATTTAAGTTGGAAATCCAACCATAAACTTTACAACCTTTATAAAAACATGAGATTAAACTTAGAGGTTGGGCAGCTCCAAAGATCAGGGCACATCGACCAGAGGTCTATTGCACTAAACCCTAAATCATTATTAACAAGAAAGCTTTATAGCTGAAATAAAATTCATCAAACACCTGACAGGAATTTCTTGCAGTTCCCAGGTTCTTCGAGCAGAATAGACCTAACAATCACAAGGTATATATCGTGAAGTCTCCTCCATAAGATGACAAAGAGAATCAGATTCAGTACCCATTATGTGTATGTGCCTTCTGAGGGTGCAGTATCCAGTAAAAAGACCAATAATCTTCCTCAAACTGTTCCTGTTTAGCTTAAGAAGTCCTTTTTAACGCTCACTAGTACAGTCACGATTCTATGACCATCCGAGTTGCGCCATTGCTCATGGGAAATTTTGCCATAGAGCTTGAATATAGATGCCCTGAATGATGTGGGAGAAATCATGACATTACAAAATGCATCGGTAATTCAAGGGAAGAAGTAGGCTGGCTATCTAATGCTGTCACCGTATGTAAGAACAGCTAGAAGAGTTTGTGACAAGGCCATCTGGAAATTGACCAAGGGAAAGACCATAACACAGATGGTCCGATTCTGTAGATACGGACATCTTCGTAGTGAACTATAAAAACTAGAGGTCGTTGCTTAGAGCAGGTCAGGATAGACGAAAATTCTCGAGAAGGCCAGTGCCAATGATGATGATGATGTAATAAAATTATGTTGCATCAGTTATGTTAAATTTAAATGATTGTAAACATTCGTTTTAAATTCTATACTTATTGAATGTCCATTCTTAAAAGATGAGCTTTTATATATCATTTGTTTATTTTCTATTATTTCATATAAATGTCTGTCAGCATTTTTGTAGATCGGGATTATTTTGTATAGAAAACCAAAATAAAATAATTTGATTTCTTCCAGATTTTCTTTTATAATCTTACGACTATTTTTACCCATGAGCACTACCAAAGTAAAAAAAAATCATATTTATTAAGTTAAATTTTTTTAAAATTTAAATTAAAAATTTTCATTTTAATGTTCTTATATTCCGCAGAATTTGCTGAGTGACATGTGGTGAAAAAATTTATTTTTATTTGACCAAATATGGATGCTTTGCTTGAATTTCAGCATTAAGTTGCTAATATTTATTGATAGCGTAGTTAATATTTTTTGAACACATCCATATTTAATTTTAAATTAAGATTAAAAATATTTTTGTAATAAGATAAAGAAGAAGATATATATTTTGATTAGAGCATTTGTTTTATTAAAAGGGGGTCATCAAACCATTTTTAATTACTTGCAAAATAATAAACTGGATATTATGGTATAAATTTTTTATTATAGAAATACATGACTTAAGAAACGATACGAGTTGTACGGATGATGTAATATAGTCGTATAAATATTATAGTTCATAACATAGTAAGTTACAGGTAATGAATCTAACAACTATGACCTAACACAAACTCTCAAAAATCATTAAAATAGCGTATTAGCTCCAAAAAACAGCTAAGTGTTTTTCACCTTAGCTCTTGTTCAACTTGTTCTTGGGGCATTCAACTATCGAATTGAAATTTTTGCGTAAAATTTAAATCCGAAACTTTAAATTGTACTCCTGGTTTTGCTATGAGAAACTATTTGCGTATACGTTGCTCTAGATTAAACAAACGTAATCCTTACTTCTACAAAATTATCAAAGGATGACAATCAATCGATAAAACAGCAGTTTTATTTACAATTCCTGGCAAAATTATTAGACGCACTAAATGATTCTATGTAAAATCTTAATTATCAGATGATACTGTGCAGCTTTTTAAATTTTTTTGCGCGATTGAAACTGGTCTTAACTTGTTTACGTTAGTACATCAATTGGTTAACATTGTAATACAATACGTTAAAAATAAATACTAATAGGAAGTATATAAAAAATCTCCTGAATAAAAACCCATTACATGCATGTTTAAATATAATATTGCCCATAAACTTGTGCAAAACATGTAGTTATTAAAAAATTACAATGCGTCTAATGATTTGATCTGATTATTACAATATAATAATATAATACCTGATATAATAATTATTCTATATTTATGTAACATATCGTCTAATTTATCCAATCGTCAAATTTATATTATATATCGCCTAATTCGACTAATTGATACACGAATGTAAACAAGTACAAACTGGTTTCAGTTGCGTAAAAACAATAAAACTTCTTAGTATCACCTGATAATTAAGATTTTACATAGAATATTTTAGTTCGTCTAATAATTTGGTCAGGAACTGTACAATTAGTTATACTACTTTTTTTTAAATATTCATGAAATTTAAAACTTGATGTATTTTGTGGTCTCCTTCATAGAAATAAGAAAAATAAAGATAAAAAGCATATTTACCACTTCCAATTGTTCTAACGGAAACGATTTCACTGCTATTCCCTCTTCCTGCTTTGTTAGTCGCAACCAATGAGCAGTGGTACTTCGTACCGCATAATAGGTCATATAATGAGAAAGATGTTCCTAGTCCAGGAATGATGATCTCCTTCCATGGACTACTATCTGTCTTGTGCCTTAGAATGAACCCTAATGGTGTTTCCACCATATTATTAGATAAGAGAAACTACATTAATAGTATATGTATACAACACTACATTAATACTGATAAGGAATGCATCAGAAATACCACTCTCCAATCAAATTACTTTTTGTTCCTAATTACTTTCTGGAATACGTTAATAATACGTGAAAAAATATTTGGCTGTTTTCTTCTTGTTTTGTGAATATATGCTGCAAAAGTTTGCTTATTTTTCAGAAAACTTGCTATTTATAAGTTTAATTTTTGGATATTATTTTTTTTATCGAATATCGGGCTGAACTCTCTAATATATTAACACTTAAAGTAAAAGCAGTTTAAATAATTTAAAATTATATTAGCAAAAATTTTTGATGCTTAATATAAATTGAAAAAGAAATTACTTTTGAAATCTAATGTATATTCATAAGAGCAAAATAGAAAAAAAAATTAATCGCATATGAAATGAGAAACATATACGTTATTTTCAATTGTGTTGCATTCATTTAAATGAGATTTCAATTCAATTCTCTATAAGATGATTTAAATAGAAATTTATTTTTCTGACTACTGGAAGAAGATATTAAAATTTAAGAATCTGAAAGAATTTTTTACTGCTATTCATTAATTATCATAAAAATATTTATTTGTTTCTGAAACTCTAATGAGACCCCAAAACTGAAAAAAAGGTCAATAAAACTATCGGAATACGGTAAAATTTGGCTTGAGTTTGTGAAATTTACAATAAAATATATGTTTCTTATTACTTCATAAAATTTGGTAAATGTGGTAAAACTAGGTATGTTTATCATGATACCTTACAGCATGGCATAACAGTTATTCATTCGGTTAAATTTATTTTTCAGTGGGAATTTATTTTTCTAATTGTGTGGTAATAAGGACTATAATTTAGAGAAACAGAATTTTCATTAAACTTTTGCTATTTGAATGAAATAATTGCCAATTGAATGGTTTAAATACCACATATTTTGGTGTAATTTATCAAAATCTCGATTTCCAGAAATTCTCTTATGAGAATGCTTCTATTATTTACAGAATATTTCATGCTATTTCTTTTATTACAAGTGCTTTTTTTTATTCCTTTTCCGTTTTAAATAATATGCTCTCCTTTATTTTCTTTTTTATGTTTTCCTTATTTTATATTTTCTCCTTTTTATCTTTTCCTTTTTCATCTTTTCTTTTTTTATCTTTTTTTAATCTTTTCTTTTTTTCATATTTTCTTTTCATATATTCTTTTTTTAATTTTATCTTTTCTTTTTTTAAATTTTCATTTTTTATATTTTCTTTTTTATATATATTTTCCTTTCTTATATTCTCTTTGAGCTTTAAAGAGAATTCCACTGCCTTTAGGAGATTAGTATAGTTCCACATATACTGATGTTTGAGCAAAGTCAGGATAAAAATTTTTTTTCCCGTGTTTTAGGTTTTGTTGATAAAAGAAAATTAAGAAACTAATTCACCTTCATAAATCGAATATCAACTATATATCACATTTCATACATAATAATTGAATGAAATATATAGTTGAATAGATAATAGCTGAATATAATACTATATAATAATTGATTCCGAACTTTATATATCGAATATTCGAATCCCAATTCAATCAGAGCACAATTACTTCGGAAAATCAATATACTACAATAGTTTTAATTTTAAAAACTAATAATAAGCAATATATATTTCACATTTTCTAAGTGCTTCTTAACTTGATTTTCAAATTGTGCAACTATTTGTATTAGTTAATTAGCGTAAGTACCTGACATGGTAGGAAAAAAATCGACTGAATCTAACTTTTTAAAATAGTATTTCACTAAGATGAGGCACATATATGCAGTTAGTTTGATCTTTTTATTTAGACTTTAATAGTAGCTGTTATAACGTTATTACTAAAACACGATTCCCACTAAAACACTAAAAAAAAAACTATACATTAATAATCTCTATTTTTTCAAGTCTATGATTTTTACTTATCACAAAAAAGAATGTTCCTTGCGATGCTTCTGCTTTTATACAAATTCCTCTTGATAATCTAAAAAGTAATATCTACCATTATATCTATTTATTTTTAAATTTTAATAAAATTACTGAAATCCAATTTGCGATAATACTTTTTAGTTCGATTCATCAATTCCTGTATAAAAAATTAAAACTAATCATGATATTAAAAGATTGAAAATTATATTCCTTCTAAATTTATTCATGTTGCAGAATTAACCTTTTTTTGAAAACTAATGGATGCTTATGCATATTTATTTGATTGAATAATCATAAACCAAAGAAGAAGAGTATTTTTTTTATAATAAGAAATTCTAACTCTTTTTTAGCATTGATTAAAATAAATCCCCTTTCCTAATGTTGTTCTGATATCCTTCTTTTTACAAGTTAACACTGTTTCTTTTCTCGTTCCTGCACAAAAAAATTTTTTAGAGATGTTTTTCTAATAAAAATCCCCCTTCATAACGTTTTTTTCTGATATCCCTCTTTTTACATAAAAATTAACACTGTTTTTTATTTTCCGTTGCAGTTCAAACAATGTTACAGAGATGCTTATTTTTTAATATCATACTCATTTCGGAATATATTTATTATCCGCTGCATATTTTCCTAAACTTTATGCAAGGCGTGCCTAAATCGGAAATGGATAAAACGATGAAAACGTCTTAAATACAGTCTCTATTTTAATGCTCTTCATAGACTTACGGAAATGCCTTCAGAATGTCGCAAATTGCATCTGACTGATTAACCAGATTACACAAAAGTCTTTCAAAGTGAATATAACGTGGAATAAAGTCGACATGTTCGAGGAATACTGACCTAAATTAGCACGATTTTTAGTTGCAGAAGAAGTTTGTGCCATTATTTTACTAGGGTCGAACCACTAAACCTATGTCACAAGTCCTTACTCTTCGATTGTTTCTCAAATCATTTTTGCAAGAGCAGCAATGGATCCCTTAAAAATCATGCTTTTTTTAACTAGAAATTTTGAAGATTCTGTATCGATGTACAATGTAAAAAATTTCGGATCAAATTACAGTAAAAGTACTGTAAAAGAGCAACGGCACTTTTTTACCGCAAAATCCATTTTCACCGAAGCAGGTTTAGGAGCAAAACATTTGATAGCAGAGATTTTTACTATAATAAATACTGTAAAATCTTTGAATCATTCAAAATACAATATAGAAATTACAATATAATATTTTACTGAAAAATAGATTTTACAAATGATGCACCCAAAAGGCCGGTATTTTATACCGTAATTTGATCCGAAATTTTTTACAGTAAACGCTCTTCGAGAAAACTGTTGGACCATTTATTTACACCAGCTTGTTCTAGGTTGTCATGCTTTTACACTTATTGTCTTGTTGTATTATAGTTTAATCAATAGTGCTATAGTTCTTGTGAAACATTCGTGAAAACTTTAAGCGTTGAGTAAAGCTTCTTGTCATTAAAAGTCGTACTTTTGCGCGTTGTTCTTTACAGGAAGCATTCGTTACACCCCAACTTTACATTAACTTCAAATGCTCTCATGAACTGTTGAAAACTGTCAATCATTTTTTGTGATGCATTTCTCTAATCTTAGTTTATAGTCTTGGAGGGATGTGCTGCATTTGCTAATGGATTTTCGATGTTATCACGAGTATCAATTTTTCCTCCGTGACATCTTTACGTATTATAGTTGATTTGCTTCAGAAGTTCATTTTCATTTTTTCATTAATATATTATAAAAAGAAGATCAACACGATAAAAATTCTACGAATACTTTTTCGATTAATTAAACAAAAGAATGTGAATATTTAATTACATAAGTCAAAATTTAATAAATGTTTATAGCAAGTAATACAATTCTTAAATTATCTGATGAATAATGTTACAAACTGAAAAAAATAATGCGGAATTTAATATCTATTTTAATGCACATAATTGTTTTTAAAATGTTATTTCAAGACCTACTTTATTTGACTAATCATATAAAATTATGTTGCATCAATTAAATGTAAATATTCAAGTGGAATCCGATACTTATTGAATGCACATTCTTATTAAACTAAGCATAGTACATATGTAGTTCCATCAATTTCCTTAACTGCCTGTTAACGTTATGAAAAGTTTTGTAGCTCTTTTTTTTTGTACAGAGAACTGAAAGAAAATAATTTGATTTCTTTCAGATTTTTTTAAACTAAATTATTTTTAGAGGTCAGCAAAACCATAGGAGAAATAATTTAAATTTATTAAGTTAAATGAATTTTCAGGATTTTTCATTTTAATGCCTTTACTTTATGCAGCGTCTATTAAAACTATTTATTTTGTCATTTTACTTTCATCAAATGTGTATGTTTTGTTTGGATTTCAACTTCTAAGTTTAGTCCTACTCTCACATCTGATATTTATTTATCACATCTTTCATCAATTTCGCAGGCATGACTAAAAACCTATTTATCGATTTTTTTTTTATGATTTCAAACTTTTTAACAACATAATTTAATATTATACAAAACATAATCATTAAGTTTATGATTCTTTCTCATATTACCTGTTACGGGAGCACTCGGTATGTTTTGATATTCCCATACAACTTTAATGGATGATGATGTGGCATAGTGATTCTTTATAACAGGAGGCAATGGTCTGTCTAAGAATGAACAAAAAGTTTCATCATATTTCCTAACTATTAAGTATAAATTTATTTATCACTTAAATCTATACCGAATCAAAATAAATATGTAAATGCATGCATATCTAGTATCTATTCATTATTTTAAAAATTCTGGAAAGTTAAGCAAACTGTGTTTCAATATAAATAATGAATAAAGTAAAGCACGCGCTCTCTCTTTACATTTAAACTATTTGCATTTTTTGTGGCATGTTAATTTCCTGCTCAATCCTGCGTTAACTTGATGGATACTTTAATGGTGCTGAATAAAACATTTTAAGTAAAATGGCGTAACAGAAAAAAAAACAAAAATCATAGTGTCGTTCACACTGATATGCTTAAAGGGAGTCGATAGGGCATATACTAATAATTTTAAAATCCTTCCTTTTTATCTGCCTTTTCTAAGCATCTAACTAAGATATTCCTTCCCTTTGTTTCCCAGAATATTTACATGCACATGTTTACACTACGATAACTTTTAACACATATCTTTTTTTTAAATTTTGAGCTGAGAACATTTAATTTCTTAAAAAGTTTCATAAAAATTCTTTCATAACTTAAAGAATATTCCTGTTTAAATTGTAACATTATCGTAGCTTACAACTGATATAATCTCAAGGTGGTTGCTGACTTTCACCGGTGAATGTCAACAAACACCAAATACGTAGGTGAAAGATCGAATATTTCATTGCATTCTTGTACTTTCGGACCCTCACCGGTGTATGTCAACAATCACATAGTCGCTTTGGTGAATGTCCGAAATATTTGTTATATCCAATTTTATATTAATTTATTCGCTGATACTATTATATTTATCTGATATATTTATATTTATTCTGTATTTTAATACTTACTGACGATAGATTAGAAGAAACATCAGTGTTTGGAGTATCGGGCAAATATATACCGGGCAATGGCACTTAACCTTAAAAAAACATCTGTGTAGGGTATACTGGGCAAATGCATACCGGACAGTGTCACTTAACCTTAAAAAAACATTAGTGTAGGGTAAACCGGGCAAAAGTATACCGGGCAAATGTAAATGAATGGCCCGATACTCCAAACACTGATGTTTCTTCTGACCTATCGTTAGTAAGTATTAAAATATCGAATAAATGTAATTATATCCACGAATAAATTCATATCAAATCGAATGAAATAGATATTTCGGACATTCACCAAAGCGACTACGTGAATGTTTACATTCACCGGTGAATGTCGACATTTTCAAGACTTCGGTCATTCACCGTAACATATATATATATATATATATATGTATCATATAAATGCCCTACCGACTCCAGTTAAAGACAGCAGGCATTGATAAAATATATTATGTAAAAATACAGCAAGGGATAGAAATTTCAAAACAAATGGGCCAAAGGATTCTTTTTAGCAACTTCATGTCGTGAATGATTCCCTGATCATAAGTCTCACTTATTCTGCACTGTAAAAGAATAAGAAATAAAGAAAGAAATATAAAAAAGTAAAGTCAAAATAAATAAAGATAAATAAAAAGTATAAAAAATTAAATTAAAAAAAAATTGTAAAATATTAAAAATAATAAAAAATTTTAAAAATTTCAAAATGAATATATAATAAATATAATATAAATATAAAATAAAATAAATAATATTGTGTCAAAATAGCTCCGAAACGAATAACAGTCTAATATCAAAACGCCATGTATTCAATAGAAACAGCATATATTCATTTTCTAGATAGTTTTAATAGTGATGTGGAGGAAGAAGCATGTTTCTGACACATATTTTATTTTATTTTATTTTAACATGTTCGTTAGCTCTCGGCAAAATATGAAACAAGGAACTCTGGGTTTACGGTAGAATTCTCTAACAACCATAGGTTGATATAGGAAGCTTTATATAGAGGCCGCCTCAACGATGCGTCATTGAATATTAATTTTCAACATCAATGGTACAAAGGATTGCAATTTGGAATATCTGATATCTATAGCTTAGTCAAAATATCGGATATATATTTAATTTCTTACTTATAACATCTAAAAAAACTTTTCAGCGAATGGAACGTTAACTGAATTTATGCTGTTTCAATTTTGAATAGACTGTTTTGAATGACAAATAGACTATTATTTGTATCGGAGCTATTTTGACATTTTTTACAGTGCACTCATCCATTGCAACTCTAAGTGATGCATGGCATTCTGAATTCCAGTCAATGCTTTTCCTCTAAGATGACCACGGCAGACATAAGCTGCGTCACCTTGCAAAGTAGACCATAATATTTCTAGAAAACTGAATTTCAAAGGGTATAAAGACCTTATATATACTATGAAACATTATATCTGAAGCAGTATATTCATTATAAAACGTTATATTTGAAAAAAACTTTTAAGCAAGAGGAATTTCCATCAAGATGTGTCATTCTGGCTACCACTATATAAAACTTCCCAACTCTCAGCAATTGGGCGTATAACTATGGTACTTAGAGTATCCCACTACACGAACCTGAAGGTCCCTGGTTCGTCTCATGCCGGCAGCTCAGGCAAATTTCTCTTACACATTATTCCCTCCATACCTCTTGAGAGTATGCATGCATTTTGCACAGAAATGAGTATAAGCTTCGAATTTGCTTCCACACATTTTTTATTTACATCGTGTCTATCATGACCTAAGTAAATCATTAGGTTATTGTCCACGTTTTGTAATGGTTACAAAAAGAAAATGCAGCAGATCACAATGGACAAGTAAGTCTCCCTTTTTTATCTCCACTTTGTTATTACTATGTTTAACGATATTATTATGCATTTGTAATTACGATGTAAGTAATAATCTGCGACTTTAATGAACTATTTTAATGAGACAAATTTTCCATTACTTTTTCTTATTCGGTTTTGTCTTGATTTGTACAAACTATTTTAAAAGAGTCGACAACCACGGTATGCAAAATTATCTATTTTTTCCTATTTTATCTTTTATTCAATGGTGTGGCTTTTCTGAAGGAATTTGCAGTTATTTTTTAATATTTTACTGTAACTAAAATCTTGCTGAATATGCTTATGATCATTTCCCATTAAGTTCATAACCAATATCAAGCACCCATATATGATTTAAATTTTTCGTTTTGAAAATCAATTTAAACCAAGCGATTTCTAAGGTGAACTGTAATGTATTTTATAGTCACTTTCAAATTATGTTTTAACAACTGTAACAATACAAAAGACTATAGTAATTAATTGAATTTTTTTACAATGGAACAGAATTAAAAAAAATACAGTACACTCTCAATATCTAGAACTTCTTTACCTCGAATACATTGTTATGCCAAAAAAATATTTTTCCCTTGGCAATGATGTTAATTTGATTTCCCCTACATGATGTTAATTTGAATTCCTACGTCGAAAAGTTTCTTCTCAAAATCTTGTTATGTAAATATTTTTCCAAATAGAAAATGAATTTTTTTAGAAAAATCATAATGCAAGTTTATTGTAAACCAATTATTTTCTTAATAATGCGTAATTATTTTTGTCTTAATTTTAAAAATAAAATTATCATTACCGTATTTCGACTTATAATCAATAATCATTACATTCATAGTATTTATTAGTAGTTATTTTTATGTAGTTGTTTTCACCACTGATAACAGAAAGGCTCCTGTGTGCTGACAGGCAGTGTGTCCCCTGATGAAGTAATGTCCTGCTATCACACATACCTTTAAATTTTTATGGTTTTTGTTTTATGCTGGAGTTGTTTTTCTGAATTTTTAAAATAGTTATTTTTATGGTTTCGTTACTCTACTTTTTAGAGTACTCTCATGGAATATATTTTTCTACTTTTTAGAACATATTTAGTTCTGAACTTGCTACCTCGAAATTTTCTTAGCGTCCCTCCCACTGTATTACTTTTAAAGTATACTGTGTTATCGAAAGTATACTGTATTACTTTGAAATCTTCAATAATAAACAACGTAAATTAATTACTCACCAAATTCTAGAGTTCTTGCTTTAACACTTTCTGATGGGGGACTTGCACCTTTCTTGTTAAATGATTGAACAATAAAGTGATACTCTTCCTTCCGATTTAAATTATTTACTTCACAAAAATGATCTATTTCAGTCCGCAGATTATCTACAGGTATAAACGTGAATGGCTCAGAGCTTGATGAAAGCTTATATCCAACGTAAAATCCTTCAACGTGAGCCTCGTCTTCTATAGCTGCCGGTAACTGTTAGTGATAAATAAATACTCATAAGAAATAATTATGTACATGTTGTTCAAACACCAAATAAAAATGTCCATATATTTCATTTTAATTCAGCAAAAAAATGGTTTCTTATTGAACATAATATGTTTATTTTAACTGAAACAACGGCTTTTTTTATATCAAAACAATTTTTTACTGCGCATATAGAAAAAAAATGGTAAAATGACATTTCTGGTTTTAAAAAAAATATTGATAAAGAAAACCAAAATATACGGTATTTTCCATTCATATAGTAACAGTTGACAGGAAATACTGGTTTTCAAAATTATCGTTCTTATTATCGCACATTTAGCAAAAACTACGAAACTAAAATGCGAATTAGATCGAAAAAATGGGTTTATGTCATGATCTATAGCATCATGATAAAATTACCAAACTTTACCACATTTACCAAATTTTATCACAGATCAAAATTAATTATTACTTTTACCAAAGAAAAGAGATAAAATAAAAGCCAAGGAGGTAAATTTTACCATACTCTGATAATTTTGACATTATTTTTTCCTCAGTGCGGCAAAAAAAATTGGATCGCTTGATGTTCATTAATTATTGCCTCGATGAGTTTTATAAATTTATTCTGTGGTATGCTGCTCATTTGCGATTGCATAAATGAGCATCGCAAAAATATACTGTCTTAGGTTGTACCTTTATTATTACATAAATTAGTATTATAAAAATATCCCGTCGTACATTGTTCATTAATGATTGTATAAATGAGTATTATAAAAATTTCTCACAGTATGATATTCATAAAAGATTGCATAAATGAGCACTATTAAAATATCCCATCGTATGATCATCATTCATGATTGCATAAATAAGTACTATTAAAATTTCCTGTTGTATGATATACATTAATGACAGCGGAAATGAGTATTATAAATATACTCCATCCTATGATGTCATTAATGATTGCTTAAATATGTCTTATAAAACATGAATGGGGAAATAAAAGAGATGATATATGAGAAGATTAGAAATAAATTATGAAGTTAAAACAGGACAATTAAAAGAAAAAAAAGTAGGAATCTGCATACCACAAAGCAAAGTTTCATGAATAACTTTTAATAATATTTAGGACATTGTAAAATATCTCAAACTCTTTTATTTACCCCAAAAAATATCAAAATGTACTTAATTCTGCAATAGTTATCAAACAGCGATTTTGCGTAATATATTTATTAAAAATATAAATATCATTAATTACTAATAAAAAGTAGATGATCGTTTTGTTAACTGCAAAAAATTACTTAGTTCACTTAAGTGATTCTTCTTACAATGGAAAGTAGAATTAAGACACATAACTACCGTATATCCCAGCTAGTAAGTCGAGGTCGCAAACCCACAAAATTTTACGAAAATCAGGAGGTTAACTTAAGCACCCATAATAAAGTCTTTAATTTATTGATCATGAATTATTGATGCATTGAAAACAATGAGATAGATATGAATAAATCTGAATAAATTTACCTCTTTAGAAAACTGTCTTTAAAATGTTGTATACAAATCATTCTAGTTATTTTTCCTCTCATACTTACTTTACATGTAAACATATCACTTGTAAATATATCAAGGTTACGGTAATTGTGATTTAATCTATTGCCATAACGAATATACAAACCAATAATGTGAAACGGGATATGACGTATATATGTTGTCTCCGGATCATCCTCAGAGATGTCTCTGAGATCATCACCAATAGTCCATTGTGCAGCTCTAGTGGGACGTAAATAAAAGTACCGTATCGTACAATATATTATAAAAAATCAAATTAAATGAATGAAATGTGCCCTTTGCAAGAATATTTATTTCCCCATTATTGCTTTAAATCAAATTTAGTACGATACAATTTCAAGGAAATTAAAATATTTCAAATATAAAGTCTCAAACAGGATGCATTTAAATTCATTTTTTATGTATTTCAAAGATAGCATAATAGATGTGTTTCTGTTGACCAATATATTAGCAGTGTCATATGTGTTCCCAGAATTTTGTGAAAATAAAATTTTTATAGATATTTATCTATAACAAAACTTTCCATCAAATAAAAAAATAATTAGTTTAAAATAAATAAGTAATAAAGCAATCAAAGGAGATCTGAGCAATGAATAAAGGATAATAAAATCAGTAGTAAAATATTTTTTTTTAAAAAAAAGATAGCAAATACAAGAATTATGAGATTTTTAAAAAAATGAATGAATCTTGTTATGAAGGGAATGATGGAACGAATAATTTATAAACATCAAGAATAAAAGTGTTAATAAGAAATTGAATGAGTATATAAAGGACGAAAAATTAATATTATTAATATTATTAAGTAGAAAATGCGTAAACATAAGAATTGCCCCTCGTATATGTAAAAGAATAAAATGTGGAAAAGAAAAAAATATGAAAACGAATAAATTAGTAAATTATTAAATGCAGTAATAAAGGTAGGTATAGGTAAACGGTTATCATTTCATTCGCTTAAATATTAATATTTCTTTCATGATGTCACTAAAATTTTACGGTTTAATAGTATTTAATAGTTTAAAAGTGTACTTACCTGCCACGATACGTTTACGCTTCTCGATGACGTGCCAATGGCTTTTACTAAACGGGGTGGTACTCTGGGAGCTATGAAATTAAAAATAATAGGTCCATGAATGTATGAATTTATAGATAAATTAATTATAAAAATACTTAAAAAACATGCTTAACAATAAAATATTTTCTTAACTAAAAAGTTTTTAAAAAAATTTCCAGATTTTATGCAAAATTCATTTGGAAAATATTTGTGATTACATAATATTAAAAAACATGACAATGTTTTAACTAAGCACTTGAAAAGCTAGTTAAAATAATTTCAAAAACGCATATTTTTTTTTTACAAGAACTTGAGTAAAAGTATAAACTCTTTACTAAATCCTATTGGAATTTATTAAATCTTATTGGACGCTCAATTTCGCTGTAGTGACCGGGAAGTATTTATCCTTAAACGATTAAAAATTTTATCAAAATAATAAAAAAGTAATGCCACTTTTTATCATGCAATTCTAATAGAATTCAAATTTTTGCTATAATTTCAGACAATACTGATACCTGGTGCTACTAAGGCCACCGGTATATTTTTTGTACACTTATCATTAAACCGAGGTAGCATTCANTTAACTAAGCACTTGAAAAGCTAGTTAAAATAATTTCAAAAACGCATTTTTTTTTACATGAACTTGAGTAAAAGTATAAAGTCTTTACTAAATCCTATTGGAATTTATTAAATCTTATTGGAAGCTCAATTTCGCTGCAGTGACCGGGAAGTATTTATCCTTAAACGATTAAAAATTTTATCAAAATAATAAAAAAGTAATGCCACTTTTTATCATGCAATTCTAATAGAATTCAAATTTTTGCTATAATTTCAGACAATACTGATACCTGGTGCTACTAAGGCCACCGGTATATTTTTTGTACACTTATCATTAAACCGAGGTAGCATTCAAACCATTTAAAAACATTTTTTTTTGCTTTTCAGCTATCTTATAGGGGAAGTGTTACAGACAATATCAACCTTCATCTATGAAAAAGTACCCCAGCATAGAGTCGAGTTAACATGTCTTATATACAAGTGAATTGTAATCGAATAACTGTAGTCATAGACACGCCACAGTACTCCCCCACAAGAATTTTATTTGGGAAAGAATTCAGTGAATGGATACAGCTAGTTGATTCATTGCTGTTTTCTTAGTGAGAAGTTGGTAGAGCTGTATTAAGATCACCTGTCATGATTGCTCCTTAGTTACAGTCGAGTCTAGCGATCGAGTTTACATGCATCGTTGTGTGTGATTGAGACTGAGTAGCAACAGCGTGATGAGGACAATGTCCCAGTCACAACTCGCAAGTCAACTGTTAAATGTGTACCATCTATCGCTGGGCGTGATCAAATCGATGTGGGCGTTTCTGTAAAGTTAGGCGTGATCATATCACGTCCGAGGGTCACCAATGTGGGAAAAGTGTTACAGACAATGTCAACCTTCGTCCATGAAAAGATATTAACATAGAGTTGAGTTAACATGTTTTATATACTAGGGAATTGGAATTGAATAATAGTAGGGGTAGACACGCCACATATCCCATTATTAACTGGCATAAGGCAAATAATTAATGTTTATTACTGGTCGCAGCTAAGTCATATTGCAATGCAACTTAACTCCTTAAGACCTGGTGATCTTGGCAACTTAACGACCCACACGAATCACTTGGGGACACAGAAGGGTGCACGGGTAATTGTGATTGGGAAGGGATACCGTTTGACAGTATGTCTACTGAATCATCAAAAGTCAGAACGAAGGGTAATTAAGATTTTCACGTTTTATTTGGAAACATGTCCTCTGCAGTCATACACAAACACAAAATCATTTTTATTTGTCACAGATTTGTGGTTGAAATATTATTTTTACATCTCGTTCATTATGAAATCAAACTTTTTTTACATGTATAAATAAAGCTAAACAACGCAAATTAAGTATTAATAATGTCACTAAAGCAGATACACAGGCAGACTAAGCAATCTGATTGGAATCACAGCGATGGCTGGTCGAAACAAATTTCGACCCGGCTCGTACCGTCAGCAGTGCTGACGTAAAATAACCTCAGTGGTAGACGGATCATGGGTTGGAGTTTCCTTGCCATCAGGCTAATCGGAGATTTTCGTGGTTTTTTTCACTTCCTGTAAGGAGTTAGTTCCATCAAAAAGTCCTTCACGATGGCAAAAATCTTCCAATATTTGATCCAGGAGTTCCCTTGTCTTCTGGATTGGGTTCAAAATTATAAGGCTACGGAGTGGAACATTAGTAATCGTAAACCCAAAATTGGGTCGGTTGTTCAACGATGGTAATAAAATAAAATATGCGTAAACAAACAGTATAACTGATGAAATTAAAATTTCATAATGGATCTCTAAAACTAATATGCTTGAATTGACAGAAGTCTTACATTGAAAATTGACCTAATTCATCCCAGAAGATAGTATATAATTTTGTTATTATACGTCGATTTTGTCTACCTACATGTTTTAAATTGTCGTTCAGTTTCTATTCTTTAAAGAAAGCGAATATTTTAGGATTTTTCACGTGAAGCTTTATATAATTCAACATTCTTTCCCTTATAAGCAAGCTAGAAACGGAGGAGAACTTTGATCGTGATGTGTCAACGGCATATGCCAAAAATTGTTGAATGTATAAAAGTTTCTTAACTATATGCAACTAATGATTTAACATAGCTAAGTGTCTAAACTTTTCTCCAAAATTGATTAAGTACGGATACATAATTGTTAAAACGATTAACATATTATTAATTTGGTATACCTACGTTCTTCCAATGTCGTTACAGCCATTTCAGCACCAAATTGACTTTCGCCGATTAAATTTAAACACTTTACTCTAAAGAAATATTTCGTTTTCGGCTTCAAACCCCTTACTGTAATTGTTGTTTCAGTTCCTGTCACACTCAGAGGACCACCAGATGTTTGACCTAAAAAAATATGCTTTTAATTAAGTGGAGAAAAATGCTTTTAATAAAAACAATAACTAAATACTTCAGAGCGAAATATATTAATAAATATATTTCATAAAGTATTCTTAAACCAAAAAAACGGCTTTAATTATGTTTAAGTAAGTATTATAAATGCTTACATATGTTACATAATATAACATATAACATATACATATAACAAACATATAACATATTATATATATGTTATAATAAAACATATTATAACATGCTACGTATTATAAATATGTTACATTTCATACAGTTAAAAGAAAATTTCTTCCCTATACTTTTTTCAACTAACGATCAATACACTGGTCTATAAAGTACCGCTAACCGTAATGAGCTGTTAATTCGAACAATATTAGAATAAATTCGATTGTAAAAATCATTTTCCAATTTCTACTGGGGAAGCAAATTTCAAACAATATCGCAATAATGAAAAAAAAGTTAATATGTTTTAAAAATTTTGCAATTATATTTTACTGAATAAAATTTCTTTTTAAATGCACTTTCATTTACATTAACATTATTATTAAAAATAGACTTGTATATTCTATTTTTTTCTAACTTATCGAAATAAATTAGAACAGTTGTTTTCATTATTTTACCACCGGTGTCAGATTCGTGAAATTACTATATTCAACTCCGTAACCTTGTCATTTCAAAAATGACCTAAAAAACTTAATTCGCTTCGTGTTTACATCTTGCTCACCGTATTGCAAAGAACTTTTTGGAGTTAAACTGACCTGCATTTGAGTTATTGAGTTATGGACAAAAATCATGAACATCTACAACGATTAGCCCAACACTGCCCACCCTTACATCCTAAAATGTGGATTGTGAGGGTATTTTGCTTAAGTACCAGACGAAGCATAGTTGCTAACGGAATTCGAAACTAGATCATCTCAGTCGGAAGCAAGCACTCTCGATCACCTGCATTTCTCTAGCTTAAACTATATAGTTATTTGAAAGAATAACCAAAAATCAAAAACTTAACTCCGCAGATCTATTACACTGTTCACTTTTTTACGCAATTTTAAAAGCTAACACTGTATTTAAGAGTACAATTTATTTTTATTCAGTTTGGTAGCTATTTAGACATTACTAACTGGAGAAAAATTGCAAGGAATAGAGCAGAAAGGGCAAAGGTTCTAGAGAAGGCTCTGGCTCAGAAAGGGCTGTCATGCCAATAAAAGAAGAAGTGGAAGATATTTAGACGTGGTGAAAAAATGCATGATATGAAAATATTATGATAATGTAGGAATATTTAAAAACTGTCTAATCGCTTCAATCTTCGAACTGAAATTACGGCTAATCACGCATACCTCCTAAGCTTAAAGTCCTTCTTTTTTTTTTAAATCACTGACCAATCATATTCTCACCATTGCAGACCACAAGTTTGCAAAAGCAAAATTTAAAAAAATGGAAAACGCCATACAAGGCAAAAAAATTATTGCCGGTACTAAATCTTGTTTTTTTTTTTTGTTTTTTTGTTACTGATACATGACAATTTTAGGGAAAGATTTTATTTCTGACCAAAATGAAATATTCAGAAATGTTTTGCTAAAAGTTCATCAGGTCCTATTAAAATATTATCTTTTCAAGATTGTAAATCTGAAATTTTATTAAAGGGACTATACTAAAACTCATATTAAGCTGTAAAAATTTCTGAATCAAATTACGGAAAAAAGTACCAGAACTCAAGGTGACGATACTTCTTAACGCGACATCTATCTTTACCGGAACATGCTACGGAACAAATAATTTGATAAACTATAATTTTTACTATAATAATTACCATAAAACCACTGAGTCACTCTAATTAGATTACTTTTATTGAATAATTTACGGTATAATTTGCACGGTAAAAATAAACTTTACAGTAAAATGAATTTCATGAATAAATCATCCGAAGTGTCGGTATATTATACATTTAATTTGATCTGGAATTTCTCAACAGTGTATTAGACAGGAAAACTATTTTTGAATATTATTTTCCAAATATAATCTCAGAGATTTTTTTAAGAGCAAAGACAAATCTCTAAATACTTTTGTTTTCGTAGTCACTGCTTATTTTTAGCAGAATTTGTTAAATAACTTTGCCAATCACCATTTTTTATCTAAATAAAAGTTTGTTCAATGAATTTAAGTATTTTTATCATAAACAAAAAATATCTATTTATTATCTATTGATTAATCTTCAGAACATTATTTGATGAGTTTTCAGAATTTTTATTTCTCTTCAACTCAAGTTGAAACAATATTACGAAATAGTTACATTTCCATATTTAAGAATTTTAATTCACATTTCAATCTGAATCCTTCAATTTGTCACTAAAAAGCAATTTGAAAAATGAAATGCAATAATTATGAAACAACTTTAAAGGTATATCTTTTCGAGGCAAATTACACTAGAGAAAAAAATTTTTGTTGCATTTATACTTGATCTTACCTAATTCAGGCGTGGAGATTTCAACCCTCAAATGAGTTTTGCTTCTAAAGCTACAGCATATTTTAAAGACATTTTAGTCTATTTTTGTTGAAAACTAAATGCTTAAAAACTTTATATACAGCAGAGTTCGCATAAATGCCGCGAAAAACTTCTAGGGAAGTTTGGACACATCACGTGGATTGGAAATGATTAGGAACTCATGCGCAGATATATTGTCGTACGCGGCTTGGGGCACTTTCCTATTATGACCTGTTCAAAAACACTTAACAAAACACCCTTTGCAGCGTATTATGATATTCCTATGCAATGTTAATTCTGATGATATGCCCTAACTACCATAGAAGTTTGCTGCAGCATTTATTAGATCTCCTGTTGTAAGCTAGTAGATTTCGACTGAAAATGAAGTAAAAACGTTGCTTGGAGATAAAAATTGATGGTAGATTTGAAATCAACCATATAAAAATATTAAAAATCTATTAAAAAATTTCCTACAACAGAAAGTGAAAAACAAAATTCTCCAGCATTATCTAGTAAAAAAAATTAATCAGTTTAAAGTTTAAATTCAAAAAAATATTTTACTCAAAATCAGGCATTTATGTATATCATAAGTATACTTTTAATTCATTTTGAATGTTACAGATCTTCGCTGCGATCCAATCCTTAATACGATAATGTCTACGAGTGATGTTAATGAGAAAAATGTTATTTGGCAAAAGAAAAATTATAAGCTAATCTTCCATAAGCAGTTCTTAACTTCATGATAACATATATTTTCATACATAAAAACATTTACCGTCAGTCTGGATTAAGTTAAGCTGATATGTGTTTATTATATATCACTAATAACCTCTTAGTCCGTTTATCTTAATCCATGTTTATATTTAAGTATTGTAAGGCTTATATTATCATAAGTTAGTACGTTTAATAAAATTTCTATTAGTTTAGTTTATTCATAATCGAAACACCGAAAGGGTTTGGAATACATGGAATATATAACATTATAATTAAGTCATACAAATGATTTTTTAATTATTATTATTATACGAAATTTTTAGCAAACATTTATTTACCCTTGTTAAGAAGTTTAAGTATCTGATGTAACTTGCTTAATAGTGCAAATGTAACATTATGAAAAGACATATAGGGTGTCAGAAGCTGAGAGGACAGCTTTTCATATCGAATCATAATATTTTCGAAAGCTGCATTCAATTATATTGAACTCGATATCAGATATGTCTATTTGTATTTTTCGCTCTAACGTACAATGCATGAAATATCTTCATTTTCAGCATTTACTACCCTCTTACGGTTACATCTTCGTTTAAGAAATAAAAAGAAAAATCTCTAGGCTTATTTGTCTTGCATTTTTTTACACAAGCCAAATCTGCAATGGAAAAGGCTTTTATATTAGATTTCACACCCTTTCCCACCTCCAAAAGGTGAGTTTAAGAGAGGATTTCTGAATTGTATCTTGGATTGCTTCATTTTAAAAGATTTTGCAGATTTTTAACCAATGAGTAACTCATTGAAATATTTTAACGTTTCTTTACTCGCTTACAGTCTCAAAGAACAAATGAGCAGCGAGGTACTCAATTGAGTCAACTAAAGTCTCTTAACCCCTTCCTTCTCACTCCCGTGAAAATGACAGGGTGATGTTTCGCCCTCTATTTCTCTCTCCCGTGATATTGACGGGCTGGAGTTTTCAGCAGAAACGCGCCAATAGGAATAAAACTAATTCATTTCTTTTGCCCAGAAAACATTTTATTTCTTATTTTACACACCAGATGGCAGTACCAGGACATTTTTAAGGTAAATGCAGATAGTTAGTTTATTTTAAACTAGATATCAGCACTAATCAAATATGTAATACAAATACAAAAGTCAAAAAATAGGCACTTTTATGACCGTTTTCTTTAAAATTTACCGATCATCAAAGGGGTTAAAAGACTGCATTCAGATCCTGCCTAGTGGACAAGATGAGAATTGATCTGATCTATCTCTCAAACAAATCACCTTGCCACCTTCTAACCAGTTGCAAATAAGTGAATCAAAATGTGCTGATGCACCATCTGCTGTGATAGGAAGTTTGCCAAATGTTTTGGGGGGTTTTGCAGTTGGGGAGTTTTGCTGTTGAATTGTGGAACTGCAGATTTGTTTTGTGCTATTGTACATGCGATGGTTGCTGAATTTACACAGAAAAAAAGAGTAAAAAAATGGGTATGACTTCACTGTCGTCGGGAAAGTCACTATATGTTGCCCCTTGTTTCAAAAACTATCATGCAAAGACTAATATTTAACTATTTTGCAATTGCCCAAGATAATTGGGGATTATAGACTGATGGTAAGTTAAATGTTTTTTATGCATAAAAAAATAAATTTTCAACTTATAACTTGTGTATTAAGTTTTGTTTCAGTTTCTTGTATTTATTAATGAATAAAAAAAATATCTCTATATGTCGATTAAATGCATTTTTTTCTTCAAACAAATTGGTAAGGGTGGCAGTTAACAACAGATCCAATTTTAAGTTTACGACTTTCAATGTTCGATCAAATCCATATCTTTGTAATTTTAAATACAATCCAGATGGTAACGGAACTCCTGGATCGAGTATTGAGAGAAATTTGCTTTCACGCAAGACTCTTTGATGAAACTAAACCTAATTCGCGTTACATGGGCAGGAAAACCTCGAAAACCTCCCACGGCTAACTTCACGGCAAGTGGACTCTAACCCATGATCCGTCAACCATTGAAAATATTTTTACGGCAGCACTGTGTTCCGTGCAAGTTGAGTTAATTTTTCATTTAAACTAATTCTAAAATCATCAAACTTACTATTCCAAAATCATCAATGCTAAATTTATCAAATTAATTTATACACATGCTCAATCTGAAAGATATCGATAAAAATACTCACGTAAATCAATAAAAACAGCCTATAATGTATATTTTGCAATGCAGGCATCTTTAAAAATTCAAGAAATCTGAGTAATTTTCTACAAGTTTTTCGAACTAGCAAACCTTTATTCCATTAAGAAAACAGTTTTCCCTCAAACAGCTAAATGCAGAGCAATCAAATTGCATCTATGGAATCAAGTAACTACTATCCTTATAGAACAACATTTGGAAATTCAAATAACTATTATCTTTATTGCACTTACCATTGGCAAGTCTCCACATAACTGTATATTGATTTATTGGGCTATTACCATCGAAAGGTTTGTCCCAGGTTAATCTAATGCTCCGGCTTGTTACGTCATGCACTTCAAGATTTTGTGGGGCATCAGGAATATCTATAAAATGATACAACGAATGCGTTCATTAGAGAATGTAATCAAATTATAGTGTAATTTTAACGTATCGTTTAAGATGCTTCTAAAATAAGAAGTTACAAACTCTTGCCTCCATATAAATAACATTTATTACATTGATATATTGGAATATATATTCTAATTTTCGTTGATAATATAACCAGAAATTGAAATTTAAACCATTATTTGAAATTATAACCAAAACTAATCATAACTACTCGATATTCAGCATTTTTTTACATCATTCAATATATATAAATATATATATCGAACTAATTTCTTCAAACTTTTAACATAGTAACTTTTGCTTAATATGTACATAGCTTTTAATATATTTGTATATTTAATAGTATAAAGACTTTTCCAACAGTTTTTAACTACTGAATAATCAATAATTATAATCTTCTAAAAAATTTTTTTTTATTTAATATGCAATATTCTGTATAAAATTAATAATTTAATATATCTAATATAATGTATTTCATAGAGTATTAAAATTTAATATAGTTCAACATTACGGGACAAAACTGCCTTGATAATTGTTTTTATATTGGTGTTCGCATTATTTAAAAAAAAATACTTAATTAAAATTTAAGCTAAAATTCTAAAATGATCGACAAATTTGAGATAAATTTAATTTTAATTTTAGGGTAAATTTAATTAAATTTAAATACATATTAAAGAGTGTTGTAATCTATACACATGAAATGGAAAAATCTTACATTAATTCCACACGCATTGATACCGTTCCTTAAATATTTTTACCTCTTCAGGCGTCAATGTTTGGGAAATTAGAATATCAGTAGTAGTTTGTTCACGATAGAGTACCAGATTGAGTGAGTGTTTAGTTGAGTAATACGCCGTATACGGTTACTGAAACAAAACTTAAATTCATACATTAAACAAACGTACGTTGTTAAAAATTTATGTATGTTTTTAGTTGCATAATAAGGATAATTATAATCTGATTTTTAAATATTTGTCAATTGTTTTAAGTAATTTTAGATCACATACTGTCGATCCGGCTCTATTAAGCTAAGACTAACAACATCACAACGTTTAACATCATCTCTGTTCGTATTGTATCGTAAAGATAAATTTACTGACACTAATGTGTATCATAATTTATTGTTATTATGAAATTTATTATCGCCAACCACAAAAAGTGGGGGCAACTGCAATACACGAAAAGTAAGGAAAAGAAGCATTTTGTTGTGTCAGTACATCTAAAACTAAGGAATAATCTGTGGGGTTTAATCTTGCTAATTTTAGAGTGAAATATTTACCACCATTTTTGGAGTTTAGATACATTACAATTTTATTGTGTTGGTATACTCGTAAAATAAGTATATTGTTTAATTATTGTTTAAACAATAACTACGAGTTATCGAAAAATATTACCTTCAATAGTAACTTTTATATTCATAACATCTTCTCCAAATTCATTAATCGCTATACATTCAAAAAGAGCAGAATCTTTTCTCTGAGTTTTTTCCACAATTAAAAATGTTTTTAAACCGGACTCCATTATTTCTTCCGTTTTCTCCAAATATCTAAAAAAACAGTTACATATAATTTTATGACCATTTCTAAACTTCAAAATTATTTAGAACAAAAAAATTAGATCGACATTTTAGTTTAATGTTAACACTGACATTTTATTTAATTCAACTTTCAGAAAAGGTCCCATATTTAATTATATCTTTATAACAGAACAAACTATGGCTTGATACTTATACATTAAATATAATGAAATCTATTGTTTGTACAAAGAATGTTTCTTTACTTCTGCTAAAAGTAATTTAAAAAGTAAAGATAGATTTTTATCTTGTCCCTTCGTGAGTGGAACGAAAATTTTTAAATTAAATTTTCTTTATTAAATCAAACTGTTTTCGTTCATTTTGAAATTGCATGAAAAATTAAGTAACGCTGACTTTTAAATGTAGTGTATTAAAATAATAGAGTAGATATTTTTCGTGATTTTATTTCTTAAAAGAATATAATATGATTGAAATACTACGTGCAATAAATCTAACTAAGTGAAATTCGTGAATTTAAATTGAAACTCGAAATACGGTGGACTATGGTGTTTACCTAAATGACTAGAAAAATAAAAGCTTAAAATATACAAATAAGATTTTATTAAGAAATATAACTTTATTAGATGATATAAGAAAGGGAAAGACTTGTTAGCTGTCATAATATTTACATTTAAATTGTTCGGAAAATAAGTTAAAGTGTTTTATTTCTTTGCAGAACAACGTATGTACAAAATGTACCACAAACATTGAAAATCAAAGATCCCTTTTAGAATCCCTTTTATAGAAAAAAAGGTCAGGTACAGATTTTTTTTTCTTTATTACTTGCTCATTTCTATGTCAAAAAAACTATTTAACCTTTAGTTGATAACGTATTTGACTTAAGTCTAATTCGAATATATTTTGAAACAGAAACTAGAAAAAAATTAAGGAATTTTGAAAATTAATAATTAATTAAATTATATTCAACAAACAATATACAATATTAAATATTTTCTTAAGAATCCCGCATAACTTTACATTTCAATGGATTTCTGACGGTTTTCCACTCATTCAATAATTTTAAAATTTCTATTGGTTTTGAAAACAAAATTATGTAGACTTTCGGTTTCATAATTTTTTTATGTTGTTTGTGCTGTATTTATTACTAGCCCGCAGCACGTCATCGCTGAGTTTTTACTTTGAACGCATCTCAAAAAACTTGATTAAGAAACTGGGCACAGTTCAAAATTGCATGTTTGAGAAAATGGCCACATCTAGATGTATGTTCTTAAGAAAATAGTCATAACTCTAAATGTATGTTGAATAAAATGGGGACGACAAAAAAGCAGTTAAAAAAGTTGACATAGCTCAAAATGCGGGCTTAAGAAAATGGTCACAGATCAAAAAGTGCGTTTAAGAAAATTGTCTAATATATTATAGATGCTTCAAACGAAAAGGTACACAGCCCGAAATGTGTGTTTTAGAAAATGTATACAGCTCGAATATCGCGTTTAAGAACAACATAGACACCGCCCGAAATATGTGTTAAAAATGCACACAGCTCGAAATGAGTGTTTTCTATTTTATATTTCATAAGCATCGTTGAACAACCGACCCGATTTTTTGGGGAGCTTACGACTACTAAAGTTCAACTCTATAGTCTTGTAATTTTGAATCCAATGGAGAAGACAAGGGAACTCCTGGATCAAGCATTGGGAGAATTTTTCTATGTGGTGGATTATTTGATGGAACTTACCAGCATTTTAGTTACATGGAAAGAAAAACAACGAAAACCGCCCACGGTTAGTCTGACAGAAAGGGGACTCTAACCGATTAATCATCTACAACTGTGGATATTTTACGTTAGCACTGTGGTTGGTTCGAGCCGAGTGCAGAATTCGCATCTATCAGCCATCGCTGGTATTTGAGTCCTGTTTACCTCATTATAAGGCGAAACGTTCGACCCCTGTACCACCATGTCTCCGAAATGTGCGTTTGTGTAGAAAATGGACACAACCTGAAATGTGTGTTTCAGAAAATGAACACAGCTAGAATTGCACCTTTTCAATATTCAACCAAAACTCAACTAGGAAATGAACAACTCAGCGTACCTTATTATTTTTACTTTTTTGAACACTATGCATAATCATTGGAAATCTAAGTCCTAGACTTCGGGTTTGGAGTAGCTGGGTACATTACAGACGTCATTTCTCAGCCACCCTTTCGTATTCAGAACACTAAAGGATTAAGTTGCTTTAAAAAATGTAACCTCGAGAAACGTGAGTTTAATGCCACCCTTATAAACTTATAGGACCCATGTGAACCTAGTAAAAAACAACTGATGACTTTAAATATATTATTATAAGCTATACTAATTTAAAAATAACACTAAGTGATTCAGACAAACGGTCGCCAACAAAGTGCGAATTAATTTGAATCCATTAATTTTTTTCTTATAAAAAAATGCTACGTCTATCTTTTAAAAAACATATTTGTGTCCATTTTTAACAAGCATTTTGAGCTGAATCCATTTTCAAAAACACACTCCTCTACCCGTGTCCGTTTTTTTGAACCCGCATTTTGAGCTTTTTCCAGAATAAAAAATGCTCACGGATGATAGTCTTGAAAAATTACGAAGTGAATTGACAAAAATTTAAGGTGTTTTTGAGGTTTATTTGAAGTTGTTTTTAAATGTCAAGGTTGATTCGAGGTTTATTCGGTGTTGACTTCAAAAACAACTTTAAAAGATCAACCTTTCAAAGTATATAATTAATGTATATGAAGTTATTTTATTTACACTTGATATTGTTTTGAGGTTGATGGAAATCTACTTTAAAGCAGTTATCTGAGAAAGGTTGTTTTCGAGGTGTACGGGTTATTTTTTATACACTTTAAGCAAATAAGTATATTAAAGGTGTGAATAATTTCACCAGATCTTAACTAAAAGCATTGCTGAGTTATATATGAGGTTGATTTAGGGAGGTGCAAATGAGGTTAAAATTGAGGTTTATTAATGAGGTTATTTTTGGTGCAAAACATGATCTCAGTTTATTCTTCGGGTGCATTCTTTTTACATTCTTAAACCTAAAAACAATTTTAAAAGCACTTTATTTTTTATAAGGGAAGTTTAAATAAGACTATCCATTGCGAGTCGCATGCATTGATTAGATCGTCTTGGGAAACAATGATAACGCAGATGTGTACCTCAGATGTGCGAAATCTTCTTAAATCCTTACCTATTCTCACCTGCCAGATCGATAAACTGGCTATTCCGTCTCCATGTGATTCTCATTGGTAGGTCTCCCAGCGCGAAACACTCAATCACACACTTTTCTCCTTTCTTTGCACTCACAAACTGAAACTTGGAATTGAATTTAGGAGGTCCTAGAAAAGTGGAAGAAAAGAAAAAATGAAATTTAAATAATGTATGGGAAAATAAATATGTATTCGAAAAAGATTTTAAATGAAATTGTGGCGTAACTACCACTACGATTTTTAAACATCAATTCACTAGTATATAAGGCATGTTAACTCGATTCAGTCTTAAGGTACCTTTTAAAAGATGAAAGTTGGCATAGTCGATAACTTCCTTTCCCACATTGGTGATTGTGATATGAACTCGTCTTCATCAAAAAGTATCGTCTACTTCGATGGACTGTTCAGATTGAAAAGTTGACTTTCTAATCGTGATTGCGTCATCGTAGTTGCTTCTCAGTCTCATTTACACATAACGGGATGCTGCACACACTCTACTTCTAATAGAGACCACACAGCTCTCACAACAAACGCCCAAGTCTCGATGAACTTAATATAGCTCTTACCATAACCCCTCAAAATCCGGTGAACTTAACACAGCTCTCCCGGTCTTTCGCAAATACGGCAATATCCGTTTATCAAGTCTATTCCCGATGAAATTCCGAGGTTAACTCTATTCTATATTTAGGTACCTTTCGAAAGATGAAGGGTGGCATAGTCGGAAGCTCTTTCCTAGCACAATTTATAAATGGTAACTGTCACATAGAGGTACATACCGTCATTATGAGAACTTATAAATTGTGTGGTGTCATATGCCGCTTGTCCTCCCGGGCTAAACAAATTTATATATATGGTAAGCTAAAATGAATACTGTAAAAAATTCAAAATCAAATTATGGTATAAAGTACCAGGTACATCGTCCATAAAATTCATTTTACCATTATATTATTATATCGTAATTTTTATAGTAATATTTATTTTATTACAGTGATTTAGTGATTTCAATGCAGATATTACTTTGAAAATTATGATATATTAGAATTTTTGTCCCACAGCAAGTTCCAATAAAAATGGATTTCACGAAAAATAGTAGGGTGCATGTTCTTTTTTAGCGTAATTCGATCTGGAATATTTTACAAAGCACGGAAAGTGTGATAAATGCATTCATTGAAAATATAAATACTTGAAGGGATTATAAAAACAGTTGCTATAGTATTCCTCATAAACTTTTGATTTGCGCTGCTTTTATTATACCATATACAGCAAAATTCAGGCTATTGTCGATGCCACCAATAGCAGATGTTATAGGGGCCTTAAAATCTTTCAGGTCGTTGAACCTAGCAGGCACGTACAAGCGATCTTTTACAAAACCTCACCAGACAAAATGATTCGGTGGGGTTTTAGGATCATGGTGGCAAGAAAAGAGAAGCCTTATCTGCAGTAAAAAAGTGACCAGTCCATCGTTGTGGTATTTTTGTTTACACAGGAACGCTGATGTCGATTAGACGGCGAGCATTCAAAACCTGATTATATGACCTCTGCATGTATGTACAGTACGCAGTAAATAAACGGACCGCCCTAAATAACTTTGGATCTAAACATCGGAATTGTAGGTTTTAGGACTCAATTTCAATGGCTTAAGGGGCAATCTCAAATATGCTAGTTAAAAAGTGCAGACTATATTTTACGTTACGAAATCAGACACAAAAACATACTTCTCTGAATAAACATACTTTTTCTCGATAGACTCAAATTTTAGTTCACTAAAACATAGGGGGTAGTCACAATCTGGGAAATACGGTCCCAATAGTTTGATCAAAATAGTGGTTCAAAGTTTGAACCCCTTATGTTGATTTTACTTTTTGTGTATTTCGCCTCGAGAATTCTTTAAGTAAATTAACAAAAAAATTGCACTCAATTATAAAATTCATTTAGCTAAAAGCAATTTCATAATAAAATAGTTCTTAATAATTATTTAATTTTTATATTTTTTATGTATTAATGGTAGAAAGAATTATTAATCGTAAATTATATGATTTTATACATAATTTTATTGTTTTTAAAAAATATTTTTTAAAGCAAAATGCAACATTTGAATTATGAACTATGGAATAGTATATTGATTCCGTGAAACAGTTCCCGAGAAATCAAATTTTAAAAAAATCAGATGTTTAAATTTTGATAAATGTGTAAACAAAGGACCGTAAAGTTTATAGTTTCTCAATTCCATGATCAACAGTATCATGATGGCAGTGTGTTAACGAACTGGTGCCCATTAACCGAAAACACCAGTGATAGAAAACCAGAATTTCCCTATAAAAGTGACTTTGGCCATTTTTCGAAAGTAATTATTTCCATTGTAAGATCATTGCATTTAAAAGTCTTAGGCCGGGGTAGCCTAGTTGGTAGGACGCTGGACTCACGTTCCTGAGAACGGGAATTCGAATCCAGCCTGACGACGACTCCTCAATGAAGAAGAAGATGTAAATGGTGATTGGTACACGTTAAATTGGTCAGGTTAAAAAGTCATCCATGTTCCCATAGCAAATTATACTTCTAGGGGTATTAGATTGGATAATGATCGTTCTCTGTAACGTAAAAATAGCGATCACGTAAAAATGGCGATCTGTGGGTGAATGAACGGTCCATCCAATAAACGAGTGTGATGTACGGGTGTGGTAGAAGTCAAATTCTTGACCATAAATGGCGCCACTGCAAAACAAGAATAATTCCACCCCCAGCACCTTAATAACCTACGACAACAACATTTAAAAGTCTTAAAACGATGATACTTACGCTGCACTGTCAATCGAACAACTTTACTGAGTCCAACAGCAACGCCATTGTTTGCTTCACAAAGATAAAATCCGGCGTCAGTTGATTCTATATTGCGAAAACTAAGTGAACCATTAACTAGTATATGAACGTGGGATGTACTGACTATAGTTTTATATCTGTTTGGTGGATGATCTGAAAAAAAATTTCACTCCATAAATAAAATCAGTGCTAAACAAAATCTTTAACTCTAACTTGCAACTAGAATTGAAAATCTTAAGTTTAGGCTTCGATATTAAAACGCTGATATAAAAACAAAAGATATAAAAGCAGCAAAAAATTTAAACCTTATGACTATATTTCATGAAGCTGTTAGAAAATTTAAATTTTAAAGTTTTCTATAAATATAAAATTAAGTTACTCAGTTATAACATCTAATTTTATTTCCAATAATTTACAAATATATTTTAGTAGTTTGGAATGAGTACATTTTTTAATCCTTCTTTGTCACTTTTCAATTTTTCAGGTTGTAAATATTATAGTGTTTTAAAAACTGTTGTGAATTTGTAACTATTATTGATATTATTGTTAATATGGTTATTAATAACGAATAGAATGTTGCAAGTTCTTTATATATAGCTCTCTATGGTAAAAAAAATATGCAAAATATCAATATATAAAATGTGAAAATTTTAGAGAAATGAAAGCAGTATTTTGTGATTTAATTGTTTAATATTTCGAAAGTTAGTAACGCTGCATTGTTTTAATTTCTAAGAACATGCAAAAAATAAGAATAATTCATTGACCACAAAAATTTTTAGCTAAGGAAAAAAAATCTCGCCTAGTTGGCTATTTTTTTAAAAGTATAATAGTATAATTAGGATATTTGTTCTCTTTAAAAATTCTCTCTAGAAATAAAGTATATATATACATTAAAAATTAAAGTTTTTCTTTTAGTTAAAAGAGCTCAAGCAGTAACTTTTTGTTTTCTTAGCTAAAGAGTTTTAAAAATGCGTAAATATGCTTAGTGGAATTTTGAAAATATTTTAATCTCAATGTTTAAGAACATATTGTGTCTAGAAAGTTAGGTCGCTAAGTAAAGTAATTTTAGGTGATAAATGTACACATTTTTCAGACGTTTCGCACATTGTAAAACAAATTTTTATTTTTGAATTTACTTCAATGTTTATCAAGGATATGAATAAAATAAAAAGCAGTTTAAAAAAAATTAAGAATAAAATGAATTGAGTTTAGCATAGCGAAAAAAATCAGCTTGTTTTAAGTCTTGGGAATTTAGAAGTAAATTTTTAAATAAAGTTTTTCCCTTCAACTGAAATTATTTACAATTTTTTCGTTTAATGAACGCTGCAATATAGTCGCTTTATCGAGTTAATTGCCAGTCTCAAGAGTGAAATTTAGATTTTGAATAGAAGAAAGTTTTAAATATTTGAAATTGAACTTTAACGCAGAATAAGTGACTTCATTTTAAAGGTTCAGGAAATTTATATGCCTATTGTGATGCCACAATAGGCATTACAAATTTCCTAGCTTTTAAAACTTTTCAAAGGATTAGCTTCATTTTTGTCTCTGTTATCTTTCAATAAATCGTCAACCATGGATCTCTGCCCATGCTTCGAACTGTCCGTTGGGAACAATTCACTTATTATTAATTTTTAATTCCTTGCGTAAAGACTGAGAGCTTAGACTCGCAGCCCAAGTACTAATTAATGGTTTTTCTTAATGAGAGGGCAAGAATGATTCTATTGACCCCTTTAATAGACTTTATTTTATAATTGTGGCCATGTTCGTTATAACGAGATGTACATAATAAATCTGTTTTTCCAAAACGATTTTATTTATTTTTCTGAGATAAATAGCCCTCCTTCATTAAAAATATTCAGCTGTATCTCACATTGCCAAAAATTCTACTTAAATTCTACAAAGAAGCTACATCCACTGTACAGTGAAGAATTTGAAATAGAGTGTTATGAAACATACTTACCAGAGGCTACTTTCCAGCGCACGTATGGCTGAGGTACACCATCAGCTTGACAGTTTATAATTGCAGATTGACCTGCTATGGCATACGTATCTTTCGGTTCTAAAACCCACCGAGGAGGAACTGTTATAGAAAATAAATGTACAGTTTTGTGAGAAATTCGAATATACTTAAATTAGATTAAGGCATAAAGTTTAAAGTAGCAACATCGTGAATAACTTTTGATCTAATAATTGGAACTTCAAGTTCTAGGACTCAATCTTAATTGCTCGGGGGGGGGTGACCTCAAATGTGCAAATCAATAATGTGCTGACCAAACTCTTGGCAGAAATCAGAATCCGTCGAAAAAAAGATATGTTTATTCAGAGAAAGAACGCTTTTTTTGTCTGATTTTGTAACTTAAAATATCGTCTGCACTTATTGATTAGCATAGTTGAGATTACCCTTTTGAACTATTAAGATTGAGTCTTAGAGCGTGAAGATCCGATTATTAGATCAAAAGCTATTAAGGGTTTTTCGTTTGTTTTTTGAGCACTGTATATTACATATTGCATACGTTCATTAATACATTGAACGTCAAAGTCAATATTTGAACACGTTGTTTTTGTTAAAAAAAATTTTGTTAAAATCAATTACTTTAACTTTCTTTAAAATACTAAATTTTCTATTAAAAAGAAAACGAAATTCTCTTCAGATTCAAATTTTGCTCGATTTATAGCGATCATATTAGACGGTTAATACATATTAGGTTGATGAATAAGTTTCCTCTAATATTGGAAATATGCAGAAGAAAAATAACTTACGTTGCGTATTAAACACCTTTTTACCTGAAGATGTTAAAGAGCTGCCTTACCATATGACTTGATGGTCAAATGCAGTTTTTGTCTTATAAAGCAGTGCGCAAAGATTTGTGTAGTTTCATATAAGTAAACTGTGAAACGAAAATTAGATTCAATCGAGCGATAGTATTTTAAAAATGCTTTTATTATGTTATTTCAAATGTGTGACTTCTTTAACATTTAATAAAACTTAGTGTAGTCTGAGCTAATTATATTTGAAAGCCTCTTAAGTTTGTTCCCTTTCAGCACTGAGATTGCGCTAATAAAACGAGATCACTACGTTTCTCCCTTCATGTCCCACGGCATCTTATATAAAAGAATTAAATTAATTTAAGTCATGCAGTTTAAAGTAACAACATTTAATTTTAAAATGTTTAACATTTACTAAAACAAAATAAAGGTACAGTGCAAAAAAAACGGGCCACCCTGAATAACTTTTGATCAAATAATCTGATCTTCACGTTCTAAGACTCAATCTCAATGGATCGAGGGGATGATCTCAATTATGCTAATTAATAAGGGCAGATGATATTTTAAGTAACGAAATCAGACACAAAAACGTATTTTCTCTGAATAAACATATCCTTTTCCCGACGGAGTCAGATTTCTGACCCCCAAAATATAAGAGTAGCCACAACCTGGAAATTATGATTTCAATAGTTGGGTCAGAAGAGTGCTCCAAAGTTTGGACTCCTTGATGTTAATTTGACTTTTTACATATTTCGTTACATCACGAGAACTTTTTCTTAGAATTTTAAAATGTTTGGTCCTGAGGAGGCGTTTCTTTCGCATTTTATTAGGACTAAATTGGTTAATTGATAAAATCTAATTGATTTTTATTATTTTTTATACTTTTTAATTATTTTGTACTAAATTAGATCAAATTAAGTTAAAAATATTATACTTATCATTTTAATGATTTATGATTATGAAATACAGCATGAAACACCAGTCTCTTTCTCTGCGTTAAGGGTTAAATCTTCCAAACACGGCTCACTTCCAAACAATATTTTTTTTTCTTAAATTTTCACTTATTTAGATCTAAGGTAGAAAATTATTTATCATTGAAATTTCTTAAATTTACAAAATCACTTATTGATACAGTTCTGAATAAGAATGTTATTTTTTTCAAACTACTTTTTGTTTGATTCTATATTTTAGTACAAATATAATTCAGATAACCAAATAGATTTTCGTTAGTATATACAAGACTGTTTTAATAATTAAAAAATTTTAAATTATATTTTTGCTTGCATGAATTATATTTAAATTATATTTTTTAGAGCATCAGAAAAATATATGTATAAAAGGGACACTATTGTTCCATCTGAGTCAAAGAGATACTTTTTTTTTTGGATTCGATATTTTAGTACGAATATAATTCCGATAATCAAACAGGTTTTTGTTAGTACATATAAGACTGTTTTTAATAATTAAAAAATGTCAAATTATATTTTTGTTTGCAATCAGAGCATCAGAAAAAATATATATGTAAAAGGGACACCAATGTCCCATCTGAGACAAAGAGATATGGTATAGGAGAATCGGATAAAAGGTATTCCTGAAATTCAATGCGTATTCCAAAAACAAGGAATTTTAGTTTTATTACAAATGTATCTTCATGTGAGCAAGAACACTTTTTGTAAGCTATACATTTTTTCAGACAAAAAATAATTACCTTTGACCGTCAAAACTGAACTATAAGTTCCAGATGCAACATCATTTTTGGCAATGCATGTGTAGTTCCCACTATGTTTATGAGTTAGATATTTTATGGTAAGTGTCGAAACAAAACCATCGTCTGATTCCATCACACTTGCATCCAGATTTTTTCCATCCAAAGATAAGCCGTCTTTGAACCATCTTGTTGAAAGTGGACCATCTCCAGCAATGACAACACACGTGACTGCTATTCTCATACCTTCTTGAAGTTCATCCGGAAACGTGAACTTAGTTATTTTCGGTTTGGCTTAAGGAATAAAAAATTAAATTTATAAACCTTAATTTGCAAAACTAGTTTGTTTACATTCATACAAAGTTTAAATCCTTAAGTTTTCACATTATCAGTGTAGAGGAGAGTGGGGTCAATTGTAACAGGGTACGATTGTAACAGAGAAAAAATTTCGAGTGTCAGGCTCTAGATTTGGTTCCTAGGTGGCGCACAATGTGTATTTAATAAATCTACATGTACACCCCTGCTGGCAACTATTTTTATGTACTTTTGAAAGAGTTACACCACAAAAGATATTTTCACGTTACGTAAGTGCTTTTTTTGGTATTAGAATATTATATTGTCACAAAGTAATTTTGTTTAAACAAATCAAAATTATTAACCGAATATGTAAGTGGACACCTTAATTAACATTTCAAAAAAAGATTAGTTTTGTTAATTAACTAGCATTGTTTTAAAAAAAATGAAGCTGAAATGGCGTCTTGGGGACGATTGTAACAATAAGTAAAGGGACGATTGTAACAGCTAAAGATAAATAATCTTATGCTCACATACCATTACTTAACTCTTTAAGAACCACCAATAGTTTCCTATATCATTTATATTATGTTGCATGTGCAATTTTAATTTTGAAAATTTTCNGATTCCATCACACTTGCATCCAGATTTTTTCCATCCAAAGACAAACCGTCTTTGAACCATCTTGTGGAAAGAGGACCATCTCCAGCAATGACAACACACGTGACTGCTATTCTCATACCTTCTTGAAGTTCATCCGGAAACATGAACTTAGTTATTTTTGGTTTGGCTTAAAGAATAAAAAATAAATTTTATAATCCTTAATTTGCAAAACTAGTTTGTTTACATTGATACAAAGTTTGAATCCTAAAATTTTCTCATTATTAGTGTACTGTTGCCAATAGATAGAGATATACCCTATAGTGTTGCCAATAGATAGAGAAATTAATAAGCAAGAAAAGTTTGCGTATGTATTTCAATATTATTAAGTACATCAACAAGAAATGGCTTGCAATCATGCATATTTTTAAATTTTTTTGCAAACATTAAATTAATTTAAATTTTCCTAAATTTTTCAAATGGTACACATTTTCTGACAGAAACAAGAAGAGAAAGATTTACTTACTTCGAACCATGACGGAAAAAGAACGTGATACAGGAACGGAACTCAATCCCGAAGTAACTTCGCAGCTATAAATTCCTTCATCTGCCAAAGGCTGCATTCCACTGATGAGAAAAGTCCCATTGGGAAATATTTGTTGTCTCTGATTTATTGGCAACATTTGATTTCCTAAAACATTTCTCAGTTAATTTATTAGTCAAAAGATTTTCTTTACATAAAACATCTTTCAAACGAAAAAATATTAAATGAAAATTGAATTAAAATGAAGTAAACAATTATGTTAAAATTATACTTATCCAAATTAAGTTGAGAAATAAATTCAAATTCAATAAAAAATTAAGTTCAAATGAAATAAAAAAAGTAAATTTAAATTAAATTATATTCTAATTTATATGTAATAAAAATTAAATTCAAATTAAATTAAACTTAAAATTAAAATCAAAATAAATTCAATTAAAAGAAACTTAAAAAATTTGAATTATTATTTAAATTTTACTCACTTACACTAAATTAAATTTAATTAAATTTTAAATAAAAGTTCAATTTTAATACAATTAAAATGGAATTAAATTACGAAAATTAAATTAAAGTAAATCTCAAATAAAAGAAAAAGAAAGAATTCAATTTAACTTTAAAATTAAATTTAGATTAATTGAAAACTTGAATTTAAATTAAATTTGAATTTAAATATAAATTATACTAAAAATAATTTAAAAGAAAAAAATGATTTTTTGCTATGTTTTAATGATTAAAAATATCCCTTCCTTTTAGTTAGTGATTCCAATTGTGCATTACAATTGTGCCTTTTCAAATGTTTTGATCCAAAACAGGTTTACTTTGAATTATTCTTATCCAATTTTAATTAAATTTAAATTCAAAGTATTTAAAAAAAAAATAAAAATAAAAACGCGACAATGAATTTTCGGTCCTTTTTATAGATTAAAATTATTTTTTTCTTAAATAGTAGTTCCAATTGAGCATGACCACTTCAGCAATGCTACTTTATTGTAGGCTGATTTCGAGGTTTTTTCTAGAAGTTAAATTATTAAGTTAATTTAGTTATTTATATCACGGAATTTAAGTTACATCTACTTTATAACAGACACTTAGATGATATTTTAATTTATATGTTTTCGAAGCTTCATTTTATTATATTTCCATATCTCCTGTACTCAAATATCATCTTTCTTTTTAAAAATACACAAATATTTGCAAAAAATCTTTTAGTCTTAGTTTATTTATAATTTATTCATTTTTGAAACTTTTTATTTAAATAAAAACAATATTCTTTAATGTAAGCTTAAAGAAAACAACTGCCCACGACTCCAAATATGCTTTTACTGACTGCGTTTTATTAATGCATACTTTTTTCTTAATTTATAAGAAACTAAATAGCTTTTAACATCTGTGGAAGTTGAATATTTTTATAGTTGATATTAAGTAAAACTTCTTTTTAAATAATTACCAAATTACAATTTTTAACATATATCTTAGTAACTTATTCTCAGTTTTCTTTTCCTAAGCTTATTTGAATTTTATTCAAATAGGTTTCTTTTAAAGGACTCTAACAAACAAATTCGAAAAGATCGAAAACTAATTAAGATATATCAGAAGAGATATCTTACCTTTCTTCCAAATAATTGAGTCATAGGGATATCCACCGAATGGGCATAAGGATTGAAAACCTTCACCAGATAAGGCGATTACATCATTCATAGTCCGAACGAAGAGTGGACCAAACACATTAAGTCTCTTGGCATAGCTAACAGATCCTGCATCATTAACTGCTTCGCATGTATATAAGCCACTGTCTGTTACATCAACTGATGTGAAATTGATGGAACTCACAATATTTCCGTTGCTTACCTGATAAGAGCTAATAAGAATCCCATGCTTGGTGGATAACGGCCATCTATTGTCCAGAATCCATTTAATGGTAGGCTCAGGATGACCAGTGGCTATACATGTTAATGATACATATGTTCCTGGGCGAATTGTTTTTTCTGGAAATCCGAGTTTTATGGATGGAGGAAGATCTGCAAATACAGTGATATGTCTTGATTTGTTAAGGGTTTCTGATTTTTTAAACTTAAGTTAAAGAATTTTTCAAAACATTTCTTTGCAAATCAGAAAGTTCTACTTATGTAGCGAAATGTCTTGAAGATTTGTTTAATTAGTTAAAGGTTTTGTGTTTTATGATCTTAACGGTAAAAAGTTTTCAAAAGATTTCTTTTAAAATTTGGAAAACCTGCGAATTCTTACCTTAATTATCTTGAGGATTTATTTAATTTTCTATGGGTTTTGATTTTTTAACCTTCAGTAAAAGAATTTTTCAAAACATTACTTTGCAAATCAGAGGGATCTACTTATGTAGCGAATTGTCTTGAAGATTTGTTTAATTAGTTAAGGGTTTTGTGATTTTTAATCTTAACGGTAAGAAGTTTTCAAAATATTTCTTTAAAAATTTGGAAAATCTGCGAATTCAGCTAATTTTCTTGAGGATTTATTTAATTTGCTAAGGGTTTTGATTTTTTAACTTTCAGTAAAATAATTTTTCAAAACATTTATTTTAATTTCGTTATAAATCTGCGAAATCTGAAAATACAGTGAAATGTTTTGTAGATTTTTTTAGTTTCTCAATGGTTTTGATTTTATGAGATGAATTTTTGATCTTATGAGAAAGAATTAAAACATTTCTTTACAAATCTGCAAGATTTGTCTATACAGTGAAATGTCTTGAGGATTTGTTTAATTAATTAAGGTTTTGGGTTCTTTCAACTTTAAAGGAAAGAATTCTTTAGAACATTTCTTTACAAAACTGGAAGATTTGCAAATATAATTAAATATTTTGATCTGTTTAATTTGCTAAAGGCCTTAATTTTTTAACCCTAATTGAAAGAATTTTGCATAACTTTTATTTTAATATCTTTACAAATCTGTAGAAACTGACTTTTTCAACTTTATAAATTCATAACTCATAAACTCGTATTTCTATTTGTATAACAACTTGGAATACGAAATAAATGTTTTTTTTTTGTAGAATCTGTTAAATAGTAATTAACTTAGCTAATTTTAAGAACACTATTAGTGGAATTACATAATAAAAATTGTAACTGAAATTGTAAATCTATACTAAAGATTTAAAAATGAAGTTACGTTTATTGTTTTTCATTATTTTAGCTTAATATGCAGTCAAGATAAGTCTTAAATAATGCACAGTGAATGTTTTCGAAACTTCATACAATTTGAATCTAAAAATGTTTCCTGAAATTGAACTTTTAGTAAACGAAATTTTTAAACTCTGAAATATATTTAAAGACGTGGCGAATTCCCTTGAAAGCAAATTATCCTTTCAAAACTATTTAATCTATTTGGCTCAGGTACCTTTTTTACTAGCTAATAGTTAGTTTCTTTTCATAGTTGCATTTATCTCGGAATTACAATTTAAAAATTAAGTATCTCAGGATTGCTTCTGAATCATAGCAAATAGTTTTTGTTTAGTGTTACTCAATAAACCTTTAAATAAAATATTTTAACAATTTAAATTCATTTTAAATTCACGTAGAATCTAAGTTTACTATTTAGACTTAAGGAAAATAAATATTATGTCAAAGCTGTATATATTTATTAATGAACATAATTTATTTCATCTATAAATTCAAACTCAAATCTTCACTTAAAATTTGGGAAGAAATATTTTTTCATCTTTGTGCTTTTCACAAAAAAAATTATAGCGTTGTTTCAATTTTTAATTGTTACTTTTAAACTAAACTAAGTGAATACGCAACTAATTACAAAAAATGTACAAAAAATTTATTTAAAATGTTTTAAAGTTACTATAGTTTTTATCTTCGAGAAACAAAGAATTAAATAGTAAGACGTGAACGAATTCTTAGATTAATGAGTAATTCCCAGCTGACTGATTTGTAAGTATTTAACTCGCAATATTTCTTCATAAAAACTTTCCAATTATTTAAATAAAAATTAAAAACGTATGTAAAAAATTAGCAATATGGAAATGAGAAAGCGAGTTTAAGTATTTGGTTATAACGAGGCTTATTAAGCCTTTTTTTTATGAAAGTACGTGAAATAAATTTTAAATACAATATTTCCACTGAAGTACTTCAGAATTTCAACAAAAAAACCATAGCATTTTTACAAGTTTCAATTTTTTTTTTCAATGCAAGAGTTGTTGACCGCTATACATTTGTTCAAATTCAACTGCTCTTAGAGACACAATCAGTTTGCTTAACTGTTATACAGAAAATCTATATTACACCGTAGCGTACTGTTGCAATGTTTATTAATGCATAGTATACTTCCGTTTGTAAGTCTGCACTGTAAGAGAATCCACGGTGTTACGGTATTAATTAAAATTACGGTATTAAGTACCAGAACTTAGGGTGCGTCATCCATAAAATCCATTTTTTCCGTAAAATAAATTGTTATCGTAAAATATTATACTGTACCTTTTTACAGCAGCATTTATTTAATAAGAGTGATTAGATATTTTTACGGTAATTATTATTGTAAAAGTTACGACAAGTCAGATTTTTGTTTCGTAACATGTTCTGGTAAAAAAGGATTTTACAATAAATTTACCTGCACCCTGAGTGTCGATACGTTTTATCGAAATTTGATCCGGAATATTTTTCCCTATATGAAGTAACTGTTCCATTGATTGCAAAACAAATGATAGCTTTTTATCATGCTAGTTATCTACTTTTATTTGTTCTCAAATACGCCTGTAAATTATTTAATTTTGCAAATTTGATTTTTTATGCAAGTGTTGTTGGCAGCTGGAAGTTTATACAAATTCAATTACGTTCAGTGGTACTGTCATTTTGCCCGCTTGTAAACTATTATACAGAAAAACTCGATTCTACAGTAGCTTACTGTTACAATGTTTATTAATGTTACATATAATACAATGTCTAAGCCTGCACTGTGAGAGATTCCGGGACAAATTACGATATAAAGTACTGAGCACTGTGAATGCTTGAACCGTAAAGTCCGTTTTACCCTAAAATTGATTTTTGCAGTAAAATATTAGGCCGTACTTCTTACAATAGTATTTATTTAAAGTGATTCAGTGATTTTATGCTAATTAGCTCTGTAAAAATTATGCTACATCAGACTTTTTGTTCCATAACATGTTCCGGTAAAATGGATTTTACGGTAAATTTATCTAAAACCTGAATGCCGGTACTTTTTAACGTAATTTCGTATAGTGAACAATAAATTGTTCGATTACATTTTTAAAAAAATTTACGTTTTATCGTGCGTGCTCTCCACTTTTATTAATTCACAAATACGCTTATAAATTTACATAATTTGATTCGAAATGTAGTGCAAATTAACATTTAAACTTACAAATTAGAATTTTGACCTTTTGACGAATACAAAAGGTCTCTATCCCTTGTTAAATTTTATTTAAAATTTCATTTTTTAAGAATTTCCTATCTCTATTTATTTTCACTCAAATTTTCTTCACGAAGCCGATTTTCTAAAATGATAAAGTTTTTGGCAAATAAATAACAAAAGAGTATAGTTCGACTATTTTTATGGTTCAGGTGCAGTTGAACTATTAATATTTTTAATAAAAAGTAAAAACACAGTAAGAAAAGAATTTTATTTTAACAAGCATGACACTCATAATCATCTTGCAATTCCTCATTATTATCATTTGCAATGCATTACCTTTCCACTTATTATAACGCAAAAACTAATTATTAAATAAATATTATTAAGTGATAAAATTAAACTTCTTAAATGCTAAGTGGAATGAAATTATTCTAACAATTTGTTTTTCTTCCATTGTTGTTTAAACTTTAAAAAAAAAGGAAAAAGTATGAAAATCGAAATAAATGAAAAAAATTTCAACTCCAAAAACATTTTTTTTTTGAAATACATAAAAAATTAAAGAAACAGATTTTGTTATAAGAAAAAGGATTTTTCCCGTTCGACTACGATGTATATCTACGATTTTATTAAGCTGAATATATAGCGATGCTTTTAACTATAACTATTATATTGCATAATTTTCAATCGTTAGATGCATTTCATAAATGTTATATACTACATATGTTATATACAACATAATCAAAGTTATATCCTTATATCAGCATAACATCGTGCAAATTTGTTAAAAATTTAAAAGCGTGATAAATTAAGCTTTTTTCCTTTATAATTTACGTTTATGATTAAGTTCCTGGCCCAATTATTAGACAAATAATTAAAGATTCTATGTAAAAATCTTAATTATCAAGTGATACTATACAGCATTATTGTTTTCACGCTGCTGAAACCGGTTTGCAGTTGTTTATGTTCGTGTATTAATTGGTTAACATTGTAATGCAATACGTTAAAAATAAACACAAATAGGATGTATATAAAAAAATCTCCTGAATAAAAACCCATTACACGTCTGTTTAAATACATAAGTATTGCATATAAACTCGTGCAAAACATGCAATCATTAAAACACTACAGTGTGTCGAATAATTTGGTCTAATTATTATATTATACTAATATAATACATGATATAATAATTATTCTATATTTATATTACATATCATCTAATTTATATACGCGAACGTAAACAAATGCAAACCGGTTTCAGTCGCGTAAGAACAATAAAGCTGTATAGTATCACCAGATAATCAAGATTTATTAATCTTATGGTGACTCTAATAATTTGGCCGGGGACTGTACATTATTCTGGTTCATTTTAACACCATATTGATAGGTATAACAAAAGTTTAACAATGCTGTGACTGAAAAAGTTTTAAATTTTTTAACTGTGTACNTACAGTGTGTCGAATAATTTGGTCTAATTATTATATTATACTAATATAATACCTGATATAATAATTATTCTATATTTATATTACATATCATCTAATTTATACAATCATCGAATTTTTGTTAAATATATATAGCCTAATTTAACCAATTGATACGCGAACGTAAACAAATGCAAACCGGTTTCAGTCGCGTAAGAACAATAAAGCTGTATAGTATCACCAGATAATCAAGATTTATTAATCTTATGGTGACTCTAATAATTTGGCCGGGGACTGTACATTATTATGGTTCATTTTAACACCATATTGATAGGTATAACAAAAGTTTAACAATGCTGTGACTGAAAAAGTTTTAAATTTTTTAACTGTGTACTCACAACCAATAATTAGGCTTAAAACTTAACACCAATAATTAGCCGTAAAACTTACCACCAGTAATTAGCCTTAAGACTTACCACCAATAATTAGCCTTGCAGATGCTTGAGAAGAGAAGGTCTCTCTCCGTACAAAGCACTGATACATTCCAGCATCTTGCCGTCTTATTTGTCTAATTTTCAATTGGTAGGGATTGGGGAAATGGGCTCTTTGACTTGGAGACAACGCATTCATATCCTTCTTCCAAAACACAATTCCAGTAGGGTTCCCAATTACCGAACAATTCAGTGTGGATGTGGCTCCTATTTCAAGTCGTTGCTCAGCTGGGACTAATGAAGCATGAATAAACTCTGCAAAAAAGATGGTATTCACTTTTGTGAATACTAGATATTTTTCTAATTAGTAAAAACATTTTTACAACAGCCCAATTAAGGTTAGCGCCTTATAGAAGTTAAGGCTCTGCATATAATTAATCCACATTAGTAGTTAAAAAAATGTTTTCCACCAAGCATATTTTGGCCACAAATGCCCCAATATTGCGGTCGGGACAGCCTCGAAGGTAGGGCGTTGGACTCTTCTTTGTGAGTCTGGGAGTTTGAATCCAGCCGGTAAAAGAATCCCCACTTATTAAATGGTGACTGGAGCACAATCAAATCCGTCTAGGTGACAAAATACTCCAAGTTCCCATATCAAATCAATACCTCTGGGGTAGTAATAAAGGAGTTCATGTGTCTTCTTGATAGGGTTCAAAATTACAGGGATACGGAGTTGAACAATGGTTGTTGTGAAAGCAAATTTGGGTCAGCTTTGCAGCAATGATTATAAAATTTAAAAAAATTAAAATACTCCAATATTATATATTTATTTGTACCGTGATATGCTTATTTTTATCTAAAATGTGGGAAAAAAACATTTATGTGAAGCACCATAGTTACATGACTATTTAGTCTACCAAGTTTTATCACTGAAACTGCTTGGTATTAAAGGAAAAATGTTTTCTGCCAAGCATATTTTGATCAATATTATGTGGTCAATATGATCAATATTATGCCAAGCATATGTCCCTAAATATTATGTTTATTACACGACAATAAATTAATTACATGATAATTAATTGATTATAATGTAAAATCAGATAACCTGAATTTAAACCTTAGTTGGTATCAGATGATTTTCTTAAATTTTCATGGTATTCAACATCTTAAAAATGGGTAACTTTTCAAAACAAACCCTTCGGGTTATAAAACTGATTTGGATGAGTTACTTTTTACAAGTCGCAGTCGGAATTATTTAAAAATCTTCGGGAATGGTAGAAATTTCTAGGAAAAATGGTTACATGACAATTTATTTAATTGTTATTTTACCATATTCAAACAAAGCAGTCAAGTAACCATAAGATGTTATTGAGACTGTTAATTGTGAGAAAACAGTTAATTATCTGCTTTCTCCTTATTCTGCTAAATAATCAGAACTTTATCTCACCAACTAAGCCCACCTATTGAAGCCCCTTAGTTCCTTGTAGTTGCTTACATATTATAGCAGGGACGGCTAATCTGTCAAACTCCAGTCAGAACTGGAGTTCTCAGATTCTCAGCGCTGACAATGTAATATTCCCTTCACAACTAGAAGCGTTTCCCTTGATCTATACTCTCCAATGCCCGCTACCTAATGGAAAACATTGCTCCCATATCCAATTAAAGTTTTTTTTAACTGTTTATGTATATTATCTAACCGTTATTTACAATCATACTAATTGTAAACAGTTATAAGCCCGTAAAGGTAAAAAACTGTTCTTTACCGTAAACTTTACGGTTAATTGATTGAACAGATTGCTGCAGGTTATTTTACCATAGTTTTAGAGAGAGAAAAATTCTAACAGTGTATAAGAAAAATGAATATTATAAATGGTTAAAATGTGACGTACCCTCTACGACCAGTTCAGTATCAACAGTATCTTCTCCTACGCCATTGACAGCGTGACATTTATATAATCCTGAATCATTCCGCTGTGCTTTATGGAAAATAAGTACTCCTCCTTCCTGACTAACAGATACGGAATGATCAGGAAAAAGCCGTATATCTTCACTAGCTTTTTGCCAACGATAGGTCGGAGGTGGGAATCCTTGAGCAATGCAAGATAAAGTAGCCCGATGACCACTGGACACTTTCACAATTTTTAATTTAACGGCGATTCTTGGAGGTATTTCATGATGAGGCTCTAAAAGGAAAAACAGGAAAAAAAATAAAATTCTAAAATATTTGTTATCAAAAAGGTATTAAAAAGTATCCTATTCGAAATGTCTTCGGTTAAAATTTAACAATATATCCTTTTAAAAATAGAAGTACAATGCGCCAAGAATAAAAAACGGACCATCCATGGAATTTTATATAAAAGACTTTATAAATTCAATTTCGTAGAAACTATTCATCTGATGTCATTAGAAATTTGTATATTGCCATGTAAAATTACATATTTTAAAATGATGCAAAAAATTTTTATACTACAATACAAATGTTTTCGACTATCATTTAATAAAATAATAAAAAATAATAAATATTTACTAAAAAATGTTTTCAATGGAATTATCTTTGGATGAACGACATTTATATGAGTTTGGAGAAACGAGTTTTAAAAAAACAAGGAAAAATAAAATTTGAAAATGTTTGTTATCAAAAAGTTATTAAAAAGTATCTTGTTCGAATGTCTTCGGTTAAATTTGAAAGAAAATTTCTCTTAAAAATTGAAGTACAGTGAGCTCAAAAAAAATTTTAGAAAAATTAAAGAAAAAAACGGACCACCCATCGAATTTTATAAATAAAACTTTTTAAATTCGATTTCTCAGAAACTATTCATTTGATGTCGCTCGAAATTTGTATTTTGCCATGTAAAATTACATGTTTTAAAATGATGCAAAAAATTTTTACCCCACAATACAAATGCTTTCGACTATCACTTAATGGAATAATAATTTTTACATGGAATTATCTTTGGATAAGCGAATTTTATAATTGTGTGCAAATTTTTTTAAATGCACTTAAAAAGTTCTCTAGCAGTGGCGAAAGATGCAAAAAGTAAAATTAACATTAAGGGATCCAAACTTTGAATTGCTCTCCTGACCGAACTATGGGGATCATATTTTCCAGATTGTGACTACCAGATTGTGATTATAGAAAACATTTTGGACCACAAGTCTTAAAAACCGCATTCATTGATCTTAATATAGATTTCAACGTTTGCGTGTTTTCCATATTCCGGAACAAAAGAAGTGAATTTGAAATATTGGCAAAAGATTACAAAATGTACTTATACTAGTTAATTCCATGCAAAAATTAATGATTTTAAGTTATTTATTATTTATTCATTCTTATATATTTATCAATATTTTTATTTTTTATTCTTCTTTATCTTTATCTTATCTTAAATTTAAATGGAGTTCATCGTATTTGAAATTGAATATATTGATTTTGAAATTGAATTTATTGAATTTGAAATTGAAATTAAATTGAATTTGAATTTAATAATGTAGTTTACCTGTAACGATAATTCGGGAATAATCCTCACTTGATCTTTTTTCCTTTGTAATTTCATTTTCCGTATGACATCGGAAGCTGTAGGATCCGTCATGTTCAATTGCATCCTGTATATACAGGTTTCCATTGTCTAGCATTCCGTATTTGGCTAAAAGATGAAAATAGAGATAAAGCTTTCAAAGGTGGTAATATTACAGTTTAATATAATTTACTAAAGTTTAAACATTNCTATGATATATTATGATAAATTGCCAAATTATGGATCTCCTACCCATACTTTCTCTGTCCGTGGAGAATAATTATATTCCCTTTTAATTTCAAATTTGTGGAGGCTGGGAGCCCTTTGGGGGCCTCCCAGTCTCAATTTTCTAACCGTCAGAAAGGATGTTCTGGCTTTATGATCTCTCAATAGAGAGTATTCTTATTTCATCCCTTTAAGGGATTTCTTATTTTTTTTATGAAGAAGTGGCCATTTTCTAATTCACAAATTATGCTTAATACAATCTAAATTTACATTCAACGATTTGTACATTATTTCCTGGAAACTCAATTGTTCAATTCATTCATTAATGGCCTAAATGAACATTCATATATTACACTATAGAACTACACGGCTAATGACGGAGAAGCAAAGCTTCCCTCATAGGGACCATATTTCCCAGGTTGCGACTACCCGTTGGGGGCCAGAAATCCTCCGAGTTCATTGAAAAAAAGGTGTTTATTCAGATAAAGTGCAATTTTTGGTCTAATTTCATGACTTAAAATATCGACTACACCAGCGATTCTCAACCTGTGGGGCGCGCCCCCCTAGTGGGGCGCGAGCACACTAGTGGGGTGACGCGAGAAAATCCAAGAGAAAATATAACTTGAAAAAATTTGTTTACTGACTGAAAGGAAAGCGCACATGCACATAGAAAAAAAATAAATTTCGACATATTTAAAAACTTATTAAAGTAAAAATAAACAACTTATTAAATCAAAACTTAAGGTGGGGAGACAAAAGTGGCTTTGCTTTGAGGATTTTTACAAATTTTCTGGTTAAGTCTGAGTAGCTGAAATTTTTTTGTGACATCTTACACCTATCTCTAATACATATGACGTGTACTTTAAGTTGTAAAATAAAATTTCATTTATTTTATAGTACAATTTCAAAATTTTACCTTCTGTGCTTAACTTCCTTCTACGCTTTTGTGCTTTCTTCGTCACTTCTACGGTTTCCCACAGGTTACAAAGGTGGGCAATATATTGAAATCACTTTCTCACTTACTCAAATTATCTTTCGAAAAGACTCTCGGACTGGCAAACATCTTTTAAAAAGACACTTGTCTTGCTGATAGGAACAAGTTTTTCGACTTTAAAAAAGAGATATGTTTTTAGAGTGTATAATTTGTTTATTGATTTTAAATTGATAGTTCTTGTGTGAAGTTACTAGAGATTCTTTTGAGTTAGCTCATTAGAATTAATCAGGAATTACTGAGCTAATTTTTTAAAAAGGATTAATTAACAGGACTTAAATAACCATACTAGAGTTAACTAACTAACCAATAACTAGTACAAAAATACCCAAATTCACAAGAAAATACCAGAAACGACCTCAAAAACACTCATAACTACCCCCAAAATGAAAAAAATACCTGAAAAATTACTTCAAAATTCAAACAATACAAAAAACTTGAAAGAAAATATCGCAAACTTTAATAAAGTGCAGAGAACGTCAATATATTATAAAAATTTAAAAAATACCAGAGTTCCACATTTGCTTAATATGAAATAAATCAATTGACATTCAATTCAATCATTACTTTTTGAGAAATAATATGCTACGTGATGATTTATAATAAACTTTTTTTAATAGATTTCACGTTTGTTTCCGAAGGTGGCGCACGCGTCCCCAAGGTGGCACCGGTGTTGGGCCACCTTGAGACCATGCATATGGTCTCTCTCACCATTTGTACGACTTAAAACTGTTATTCTGATAGATTAATTCGAATTAAAATACTGTGGTTAAAGAGGAAAAAAAATAAACTTTCAGAAAACATATCATAACTCAAAGTTCTAAGAATTTAAAAACATATAAATTACAATATCTTCTCATCCGGAAATAAGAACGACAACTACGAAAAATTAAATCACTTCATACAATGGAGGCCATTCAAGGAAATATCTTCCAATTCCGCCTCGTGCACCTCAGATACAAGATTTACAATGCAGCAGGGACATCTTATGATTCAAAATAAATTTAATTTTACTTTGGGGGGTGGGCTACGTTAGGAGCACTGGCCACCTTTGGCTTATTCCCCTTACTTAATCAAAACATACGTAATTTTTAAAAAAAATTAATTATTTTTAGTGACTTCCTTAGGCCTGTCTTGCAGGGCGAAGTTTTTTGAGGTGAGGCTTAATATTAGAAGTAGCCACTCTCAGTTCAGTTTCTATATTTAGCTGTGATCTATATATTGTCTTCAAAGAAGCCACGACAGAAAATCCAGTTTCACAAAGGTAGGATGTTGAAAATGGTAATAGAATGCGAAATGCCCTTGTTTTTACTGCAGAAAAATCATCCTCCTGTCCAAAATTCAAATAGTGATTTATTACTAAATTGTATTTTGGTTTCGCCACTTGTCGTGAATTCTATGAATTTTTCTTCCTCATCAATTGAGAGTCCTTTGGGAGTTTTATGAAATGGATTCCTAACCCACTTGTAACTTGCTATCAGTTTGTCGTCGGCAGGAAAATACTTCTTAAAATTCCCTGCCAGCATGGCTAAATGATTTTCAATGGTTAAAAAAACAACTTTTACGTGTTCTTCTTCAGCCTTATAAGTTTTAGTACAATTATCCACAATTGCAAGCATTGTTAAGTTTTTTTGCTTTAAATTTCTGCCTCATAATTCCAATTTTCTACAAAAAGCATCAACTTTATCACTCGTATCCAACATATGTGTCTTTGCTCCTTGGAATTGAAAATTCAAGTTATTTAATTTCTCGAATATGACGACCAAAAGCTCAATTTCATCACAAATAAACAATAGTGAAAATTCTCGGTTTCCGGTTTGTTATCTTCTTCTGGGAAAATGGTGATTTCTTCTATTAATTCATAAACACGTAGCAAAAATTTCTCGCATAAAACTTATTAAAAATTTCGCATTCAAATAGTAACTCTGAATGTACTGAACCCATGTAATTACAAAGAACGGAAAAGATTCTCAGGTTTCTCATTTTTACATACTTTGCAACTGTTACAACCGTAGTTAACACAATATTTAAACCAGCATTTCTTTCGAAGGCAAAGCTTCTTTGTGGATCATGCAATCTGTCCAGACGTATTGAGGCGATTTTTGTTTTGCAAGTGCTTGTATACTTTCGAATCTTCCAGATATTGAACGAGCACCATCGGTGCACATTCCGATGCAATTTTTGCATTCTATGTTTGCCTCATTCATAACATCACTTAAAGAAGCAAATAAGGCTAGCGCTGTTGTTTTGAGTTTTATTGATTTGCAGAAAAGTAATTCTACTACTGAAATATTACAAAATCAAACATAGTCAATTAAATGAGCATCTTTATTAACATCTGTTGCTTCATCAAACTTTATTGAAAGCATTTTGTCACGCAACATCGAGAAAAGCTGACACTATATTTTCAGTTGTATCACCAATTCGACGCGCAGCAGTATCATTTGAAAGAGGTATGGACTCTAATTGCTTTGAAAAATTAACTCCAAATATAGTTTCTACAATCTCAATTGCTGTTGGCTTGTACTTTACTTTTGTTTTGGTAGTTTGTTAAAAATAATTTAAAGACAGGATTCAAAATACTCAATATGCATTATTGTTGTATACATTTTACTGTAAGTGGGGGGGGGCGATGAAAATTATGATTGAAAACTGGGCCGCGAATACTGAAAGGTTGAGGAACGCTGGACTACACAATTAATTAGCATGCTACCCTCTCGAATCATTAAGAATGAGTCCTAGAACGTAAAGATCTGATTATTAGATCAAAAATTGCTGAAGTTAGTCCGTTTTTTTGACATACTGTATATTTAAGGAATAGATTATGCTAATTATGTTGAATAAGAAATCTTAAAGTCTAATTACTATTATTTCAAATGTATTTTGCTTAAAGGATATGCGTAATTGATGATAGAAAACATTTTAGACCACAAGTCTTATAAACCGCATACATTGATCTCCTTAATATAAATTCCAATGTTTGTGTGTTATCCCATATTCGAGGACTAAAGAAGCGAATTTGAAATATTGGCAAATGATTACAAAATGTACTTATACGAGTTAATTCAATGCAAAAATTAATGATTTTTAATTATTTATTATTTATTCATTCTCATATATTTATCATCATTTTTATTTTTTATTCTTATTTATCTTTATCTTAAATCGATTAAATTTAAATTGAGTTTATTGTATTTGAAATAGAATATATTGAATTTGAAATTGAATTTATTGAATTTGAAATTGAATTTATTGAATTTATTGAATTTATTGAATTTGAAATTGAATTTATTGAATTTGAAATTGAAATTAAATTGAATTTGAATTTAAAGAAATGGTTTACCTGTAACGATAATCCTGGAATAATCTTCACTTGATCTTTTTTCCTTTGTAATTTCATTTTCCGTATGACATCGGAAGCTGTAGGATCCATCATGTTCAATTGCATCCTGTATATACAGGTTTCCATTGTCTAGCATTCCGTATTTGGCTAAAAGATGAAAATAGAGATAAAACTTTCAAAGGTGGTAATATTACAGTTTAATATAATTTACTAAAGTTTAAACATTCATTATTAGAAAATTAAATTATGCTAATAAAAAAATAATTTTCGCAGTATTTTAAATATTACAGAACATTATTACATGTTTTCATTACCATTTCATAATGCATACATTTAAATATATTAAATTTTTAAGTGATTTAAATTGTTTTACATATCTTAGATGGTCATAAAATAAAATAGTCATACTAGAAATTTAAAAATTGAATTAATGGCTATGTCCACTTTCTTAATTACACATTTTAAGCTGTCTCCAAATTTAAAAGCTCACAGATTGTGTTTTTTTCTTCCCTTCTGTAATGGTCGTTGAACAGCCGACCCAATTTTTGGATTTACTACTGCTAACATTCAACTCCGTGACCCTCGAATTTTGAACCCAATCCAGAAGACAAGGGAACTCCTGGATCAAGTATTGGGAGAAATTTGCTTTCGATGGAAACTTTTTGAAGGAACTAACCCACATTTGCGTTACATGGAGAGGAAGACCTCGAGAACCTCCCACGGGTAGTCTGACGGCAAGGGAACTCTAACCCATGATCCGCCTACGAGATATTTAGGGCATTTCTCGTCAGCACTGTGGTCGGTGCAAGCCGGATGCGGAATTCGTATCGACCAGCCATCGCCGGGATCGAACCCCGGTTCACCTCATTGGAAGGCGAACGGTCTATCCCCTAAGCCATCGCGGCTCTGAAATAGCAATTTTGAAAAAAAATATTATTAAAGAAACATAAATGTCAGCTTTTACTAGCTGAAAGCTAAATAAGACATACAAAAGTAGAACAGAATCTTGCCCTTTAAAACAAATAAAACGACAATGCTTTTTTCTAACCTATTTGTTTACAGTTTTGAAATATTACTATATTAGGTGATCTTACAACAGCTTATAAACATTTTACTTAAACAAACATTCAAAAGGATATATTTTAAACCGTTCGGCTTCAGCTACGTATGCATTGTTTACGATTTCTCGAATCATTCTTCCTAAATATACTCTCTTGCATCGAGCCCGTGAAAGCATCTATAGTTAATTGTCAAATCTACTTTATAATGAATTTAGCAAGCAATTTTTCAATAATATTTCGTGTATTTATTTCCAAGAATTTTAATACATTTGAAAGAAGTATCTATATTTCTCTCCTCTTACAGGAACAAAAATAGCTTTAAATAAATTTGAAAAACTTCTTAAGAGGTCTTTAGTTTAATAAAATTCATTTACGAGTGAAATTGTAATAAGAATTAAAAAAAGCATTTGGTTAAAATGAACTTTTCGTAATGGAATAAATATTCTGCATTTTTTTTTCATAATAACAAAACTGGAAGAATAAGAAGGCATGTAACTTTTTTAATATTTTCAGCATTAAATAAAAAATTTAACTGATTCAATTAAAAAAAATACATCCACGCATGAGAGAGTTTTTCATTAAATATATGGAAAACAGATTCAAATCAAAACTGTAACTGAACCTTTTTAAGTTGAATATTTGATCTTTGAGAAGTTTTGCATAAATATTTCATTTAAATTCTCAAACTGATTTTAGCGCTTTAAATCTTTTTTTTTATAGTATTCTGCGAAAGTTTTCCAAAGCTTTATAATTGTATAATATTAAAGCAAGAATTTTAAATGTTATAAACGATAAATGTCATAAAAATTTTATTTGAATCAATGTTAAAAGAAGTTTTAAAAAATAAAATCTAAATATAACCGATATTCATTTAGATATTAGCTAATATTAAAATTTACGTTTTCTAGCTGAGGAAATTATTCTTTACTTTATATGTTTCAAGCATAAAAATTGTTTGTTGTATGAAGCTACTGAATTCAAAAATAGTAAAAACTGTGTCCATTTTTTTTTTCAAGAGAGCGACTTTTAAAGGTCCTGTTCCCTTGTATACCCTCTTGAATTTTGGGGTAAATTTTTTATTTGCATTTTCTTGGTATTTTTGTACTTAAACTTATTATATAGTATTATTAGACTGCACAATAGCTTTAGAAATAAAGGGGGTTGCTTTATTAGATTAGAAAAACAAGCGAATGATAATTTTTAGAACTTCCAAGAATTTTTAATTAGAAATTTAAATAATAAAATTACGGGTATTGTGATTTTCATTAAGTAATTTAAAACTAAACGTTTCTCAGTTTTTAGATTTTTTTTTAAAAAAAAAAACTTTTTTTTTACTAGATTTTTTTTAAAAAAAGATTTATTACAGTTTAAACTGAAGAAAACCTTTTTGAGCGACGCGCAAAAATTCTTTCAACACTAATTGCTTAAAAACAAAGATACTAAGATGCTATCAAAAATCCAAAAACAGGTAACTATTTAACTACCCATTGAAAACTGTGGAATTCAGAATAGCATTGGCTTATTTTTGTCACAAAAAATTAATAGAGAATAGAAAATACCGCACGCTATGCATTTCAGTTTTGGATTGGGCGATGGCTTTGCATTTCATATGTATCGAAAGATACCGCCAAATGGAGTAAATATCAACCAACAGTTTATTTGTGAGAATTAAATAAAAAGGATTTAAGGTATGCTTAGAATACTCCCTCCTCGTCTTCTCCTTGACATTTAAGTTCGGTTTGGAGAGGAAAGGACTCTCAATGAACGAACCCCATTTAAAAAATTTTAAATTCTCTTCCGAAAAAATTACCTCATTGCCGTAATTCTCTTATTCTGTCATGTTCTTTACAAAAAAGATAAAAACTCATAACTCTATTTTATTTTTTATTTTTTCCAATGCTTTTTTTTCATCAAAATAATCTGGTCTTTATTTTAATATAATTCATCAGATTCTGATATGAAATTATGCCGTTGAATTAAATTTTAAATTAAATTGGAGGTTTAAAAACGCATCAGTATATATTACTTAATCATATAATTGATTATTTTTTTAAATGGAGATAGACATCATGCTCGCTCTCAGACACAAGAATACTTAACAATGAAGACATAATAATCCCCTTGTTAATAGCGTTGACGCTAAACTGAATAAGATAATAACTCAATAACTGGCATAAAACTGCTCAAAAACTAATGAACACAACAAGGAAGTTTTAATCGCAGAATATTGCTTAAAATTTTCTTAATATTTCAGAAATGTGCAAAATTATCCTAGTAATTTTTGAATTATGAAGTAAAAGGCGTTCTTTGGAAAATTTTCTAAGACAGCGGTTCTTTATTTTAAAATTTAATTACTATGATTTCAAGACATTTCGCATTTTTGCATTGCCTTCCATACGCTCCTGTACGTAAGACTGAAGGAACAGCGCATGCGCGCTTTGATTTCAGATGCTACCCATCTTTGCGTCATTTCGGCGTGATTTACGCTACAAAGACAAGGCTTTTAGCAAGATGTTTATGGCTGTTAAATGTCAGCAAGGCTTCGTCTAGTTAAAAAAGAAACTAGATATTTGTCAGCTATTTCAACATTATAAATTTTATTTATTTGAACTATGCAATCCAGTTAAAAGAAGTTAAATAATCAACAGAAGTTCAATAATATTTTTTTTAAATAATAATAAGCTTCATTCATTATCACTGGATTCATCAAAATCTGTAATATGCCAAATTTGTCTGCTCTCAGATCCGCAGTTTTACGTTCAGCAAAGCATCTTGAATCGTATTCCATAGCATAAAAGAAATAGTTTGTAAATGTTTTTTTTGATTTTGTGGTCAAAGTTAAAATGATATTCCACTACGTTAGCGTTTTTAACTTACAGATTTTTGCAAAATCTCTTATTTTCACTTACGTAAATTTGTCCCGCAGTGGACTGATCATTAAGACACGGTTCCCAGCAGATCACCGAAGTCAAGCATCACTGGCTACGGCCAGTGTGCGGGTGGGTGACCACTTGGATCAGTCTGCGTAGGGACCGAGGGTGTGCGGTATTGGACCTCGTTAAACTGTGCTACCGTAAAGTGCTCGACTTCGCGCAGGTCGTCGGGCTACCGAAGCGGGGGTGCCATCCCCTCCGCAGAGGATCAAAATTGTGATGGCATGTCTTCGGATCATCCTCCGGGATGTTTCCCAGACCGTCGCCAATAGCCCATTGTGTAGCTCTAGTACGACGTAAATTAACAACAACTTAAGTAAATTTGATATTTTTTCACGGGCTCATGCGCATTTTACCAGAACAGATGCATGCGCAATGACTTGAAATCTTACTTACGGGTGTGCACGGAAGCTGACGTAAATTTTAAAAATCTCCCTTTTATTTTAATACAATCAACATAATTATCATGTCATTAAACTCTTATTTTAAACTTCCTCTACGCTTTAATGTGAAAACTGTTTATATTTAACTCACCACTGATTATTCCAGGAGTGATTAAGAATCCATCACTTCGTTCCCAAGATGTTACTTTCACATAATCAGTTACATAACTTGGTACTGTACATCGCAGGAGTGCCATATTTCCTTTAATTACGAAGTCGTTAACCAGATGAATTTCGTAATTTTGTAGAACAGCTGCAAAAAATGTATACAATGACATCAATAAATTTTGATTTCAAACTATTTGCTTGCATTGAGTGTTACAATAAGTAGGAAGATATACTAATAAGAAGGAAGAGATAAGAATGAGGTGTACAAATAAGAAGGAAGAGAAAGAATCTTGCAAAATTAGAAGTATTTCAGTGAATCAATATTCTATTGGTATAAAACATAGAACACAGAGAAAAAATATGGTAAAAAATAACTGAATATCTTAAAATTTTCCGTGTTTCTGGCTCTATGGAAAAACCAAAGAGCTAATATGATACCTAAGAGAATGGCATAAAATTTATTTGGTTAAAGAATGAAATTTAATTTTAGTTTGTATTTTTTACTAAATGTATGTTAATAAGAACTATAATTTTGAAAACCAGAATTTCTGTTAAGCCGTAGCGGCTTAACAGAAATTCTGGTTGAAAAAATTATGCTGAAAAAATTATCAAATAACTGGTTTAAATTTCGTTTTTATTAACCAGAATTATGTTCCGGTTAACCAGAAATGTTATTACTATACATGGTAGTTTTACCATGAAATTAAAGTGTTCATTTACCAATGGCACGAAAAGCTAACTTCTAATATTACTTTAGTGCTTTATTTATGCCTCATGAATTTCTTTAGAAACTGCTGACATTATTTCTCCGATTTTTTACATTGAACTTAAAGGAATTTTCCAAATAGCCCGCGACATTATACATACTTATTACACTACTTTTTCTACAGTTATTTAATTTAAATATATTTGGCAAACGTTTTCATAAAACAAGATTTGTATTGAAAACCATTATGTTTAACGTTATGTTTTATTCTAAGCGTTTAAGATAAATTTCAACATAGGTTCAAATTTATAACATGTTTCATTAAAAATCAAATCTTAAAAAAAGTCCGTTTTGAAAATTAATTTCAATTATTTTAAACTAAAAATGCGTTGAAATACAATTTAATTGATCATATTTGACAATTTGAAAAGAAAACCCACTTACAAATTTTAAACCGCGTTTTCTTTTAAAATCTAATTAAATAATGTTAAAAAAAATTTCTTTTCTTTAATTAAATATTTGTCGAAAAATAAAATTTACTTTTTCAACCAGCATCATTTTTAATTCAAAAATAGCTACCTGTTTTGCAAAACGGTTCCAAATACTTCATTATAAAGTTGCAAATTAAGAAAAGTTTTAGAACCCTGTCGCAGCAACTACTTGTAATTTTTTATGTTTTATCTCGGTAAAATACTGAAAACTAGTAATTTTTATGTTTTACCTAACAAAAGCATTAAAGACCGATAATTTTTGTGTTTTAACTTGTTAAAACACTAAAAAACAGTTATATTTATATTTTAACTTACAGAAACTCTAAAAAAAACTATTTTTATGTTTTAACTTTCTGAAACACTAGAAAACAGTCATATTTATGTTTTAACTTACTGAAAAACAGTTATTTTTATGCTTTAACTTACAAAAGCATTAAAACCAGTCATTTTTTTGTTTCAACTTACTAAACAATTAAAGACCAGTAATTTTTATGTTTTAACTTACATTAAAATGAGTAAGTGTTTTTTAACTTACAAAAACATCAGAAGCAGTAATTTTTATGTTTTAACCTACAAATAAAACAAAAACAGTAATTTTTATGGCCTAACTTTCAAAAACATTAAAAAACAGTTATTTTTATGCTTTAACTTACAAAAACATTAAAACGAGTCATTTTTTGTTTCAACTTACTGAAATACTAAAACTAGTGATTTTTATGATTTAACTTACAAAAACATTAAAACCAGTCATTTTTTTGTTTCAACTTACTAAACAATTAAAGACCAGTAATTTTTATGTTTTAACTTACATTAAAATGAGTAAGTGTTTTTTAACTTACAAAAACATCAGAAGCAGTAATTTTTATGTTTTAACCTACAAATAAAACAAAAACAGTAATTTTTATGGCCTAACTTTCAAAAACATTAAAAAACAGTTATTTTTATGTTTTAACTTACAAAAACATTAAAACGAGTCATTTTTTGTTTCAACTTACTAAAATACTAAAACTAGTGATTTTTATGTTTTAACTTACAAAAACATTAAAACCAGTCATTTTTTTGTTTCAACTTACTAAACAATTAAAGACCAGTAATTTTTATGTTTTAACTTACATTAAAAAGAGTAAGTGTTTTTTAACTTACAAAAGCATCAGGAGCAGTAATTTTTATGTTTTAACTTACAAATAAAACAAAAACAGTAATTTTTATGGCTTAACTTTCAAAAACATTAAAAAACAGTAATTTTCATGTTTTAACTTACTGGCTCGTACATGGACATCTCTAGACCCGATAATGCCCAATCTATTTGAAGCCTCGCATCTGTATACTGAAGCGTGGATATCAGCTCTGTATTCTTCGCTTGAAAATGGCTCAAATACTAAAGATCCGTCGTGACGTGTGTACCGAAGCCCTGGCAATTCTTCAAGATTTTCTCCATCTTGCTTCGTCCATCGAACTGTTGGTATTGGATTGCCTTCAGCACTGCAAAGTACTGTTTTTCCGCTGGAATTTGAAAAATCAACTCTATTCGGAGGCTCATGGCGGAATCTGAGATACTGGCTGTGAAACATCTGGCTGTAGCCTAATAAAGATTAAAATAATGTTTTAAGAATGTTATAAAACATTAAACATTTCTCATTTTAAACATATCTCAGATAGATTAGGCTAAAAATATTGAAAAGTTCAGAAAAAAAAGAGACTAAAATAAACTTAAAATTTTGATTTCAATGATTTAAAACAGGACTAGAAATGTTAACAAAAAAACTATCAATTACATTTTACTTCATGTTTCTTAAATATAAAAACAAAACACATATAATTAAATAATTGTAAGAAGAAATAATTAAAGAATTGCAAGACTTGCAAAAGCAAGACTCTCTAGCAGTAAGGAAAATTACGACACACTTATCGTCAAATTAGGCAATGAAGACAAGTATATTAGAAACATTTGAACACAACTTGATATAAAGATCCGTACTTTCAGTAAACAAAATAAAAAGCAATTACACAAGGTAAAAAGCACTTATTTCATCATGCATTTATCATTTACATTCGAATACTTTATCCTATAATTACGACTGGACACCAACAGATTTGCATATCGCACATTGCGAACCGTTGTGGCTCAGGCGATATAGAGCTCGTTTTTCAATGAGGTGTACCGGAATCGAATCCTAGCAATATCTTGTCGTTTCGAATTTAACACCCGGCTCGTACCGCCCAATGCTGACGTGAAACATCCTCAGTTATAGACGGATTATGGATTAGAATCCCCTTGCCGTCAGGCTAACTCTCGGTGGTTTACGTGGTTTTCCTCTCCATGTAACGCAAATTCAGGTTAGCTCCATCAAAACGTCCTCCACGAAGACAAATTTCTTCCAATACTTGACCCAGAATCTCCTTTGTCTTCTGCATTGGGTTCAAAATCACAAGGCTACTGAGTTGAACATTAATTTTCGGTTGTTCAACGATGGTTGTAAAGTAAAATGTTCGACATCATTTTCGGGCATGTTTTTTGTGGTACTGTGGTACCTTTGCTTTTTGTTCCAGGTAAATAGAATGCTGACGCCCACATGATAATTTTAGATATTCGGGTTTTTCTCTGCCATCTGGCAAATTCGTGGAATTTCAAAATGTTGCCTTCTCCATGACTAAGCACCATCTCATGCTACAGTCACTGTCAAGCAGTGGTATTAAGTTGTCGACTAATTACATACTCCGGTTCATTGCAATGTTCCCAACAAAGCTCGTTGCAATAAGCCTAACAAATGGCATCAACATCTTACAGAGAATCGGTTTCTCTAATCAGCTCACGACATAAAAAAATGTCTTCCTTGGCCTGCTCAAAATCCACACTTAATACCATTGGAACATTTGACTGAACGTGGTATAACATGGGTAATTTTTCCCCATACCTCAATCAACCGAGAATTGTAGAAATGATAAGTTCTATTATTTATCACTTCCGGAAACATTTCCGGCACCTTCCATAGCGAAAAACAATCAGTTTAGTGTCTGCCGTTAAAAAATTGAAAAAATAAATTATATGAACAGGTCTTAATAGCAAGTGAAGTTTTTATGAGTGAAGAACAAAACTTTTTACAACGGAAACATTATTTTCCAGCGCTACTCCTCATAAATATTAGTACTCTGAGCAACAATTTCGTGTACAGTACGCAAAATACAAAACACCCTGAATAACCTTTGATATAAAGATCGGATTTTCGCGTACTAAGACACAACTTTAATGAATCACAGGAGTGATCTCAAATGCTCTAATCAATTAAAGCAGACGATATTTTAAGTTAACGAAAGACACAAAAATTTATTTTTTCTGAATCAACACAACTCTTCTTTGACGGATTTGGGTTACTGACTTTCAAAATATGGAGGAAGGCCGTAGTTTAGTTATGAGAGTGGTCGAAAGTTTGAACCCTTTAATGTTAATCTTATTTTGTGCGTATTTCAAAATCGAAAATATTTTAAGGGAATTTAAAAAAACTTTGCACTCAATTGTAAAACTCGATAATCTAAAAATATCTCAATACAAATAATATGTTTTAACAATATTTTTTTAATCATTTCATTTAAATTAATGAAATAATATTAAATATTAATAGTCGAAAATAATTTGAATAGTAAGAACTAGACAAATTTTTACATAATTTTAAAACATGTCCTTTTATATGGTAAAATGAATGAATAATAATAATATAAATGAATATGAGTATAAATGAATAAATATATGTGAACTTGAACAAAATCAGTCGAATAGTAAAAAAATACGACCTTTTTACCTTTTTTAAAAAAAATTTAGTTTTTGAGTCCTAGATGATTAATAATCCAATCATTAGATTAAAAGCAATTTAGACTGTTCCTTTTTGTTTGAGCACTTATCAGCGTTTTTTTCTGTCACAGTTTCGTGACATTAAAATTGAAAATTCGTTTTAAATATTTTGCATCATTCTCGGGTAGAATTTGATTGCTAGTTTTATTTCTGGCATTTTACACGAATAAGAATTCTGAAAAACTAAACAAATCAGAAAACTGTGTAAAAAAAATTAATTACCTAAAATGATAATTTGCTTCTGTAAAATTTGCAAGCATCAGACTTTAACTATATTGTTTGTTTCATTTCAAAGTCGAAAAGATAAACTCGGTACACTCTGTTTACATAAGACGGAATTTTTATTACACAACTAAATTAATGTCAAGCGTTGCATCATAGCTATTGTAATAGAGAATGTATGTTATAAAATTCAGTTGAAACACTTCTAATTTGAGTGAACTCACCAAATCATGCTAATAAGGTTGCAAGTGCTTTCATTAAGATTATATTATGAATCTCTACAAACTTAGATTTGTCGGAAAATACGAGCGTTTTAAAGAATAAATGAAGTGCTTTCCTAGCATTTTAAGCATGGATAAATAATGAAAATAAAGTTGAAGTTTATCCAAAGTGCTTTTCAAGAGATTAAACATTTATCTTTAAGTATAATTGTGCTGAAATAGTTTACGGGAAATAATAGAACTGTATAAATTGTATGTCTTTAAGTTGAATAATTAGAAAAAATTGCGCAAAGAGAACTTAGAGACATTTTACTATTCTTAAACAGTATGTTTATCTCTATACATATTTTTATGTAACACGATTCAGTAACACAATTCGATAACATTTGCAAATAAATTTTAATTAATTACTTTGAAATTTGTTGGTACGCAGAACCATGTATCAATTATAAGGTGTTTCGCATTGTTTTTAATATACATTTTTCGAATCTTCGCAAAAACTGATATAAAAAGTTACTAAATAATTGGGATTACGACATTCATAATTCCCTCCGCCTGTAAACGCCATTTTTCTTTACTGCAACTGGCTTCAATGGTACATGTTACTGCCATCTACGGGCAACTGCTTAAATTAAAACTTGAATACTTTTGGAATAATTTCGTTTGTTCTTTTTTGCCATATTCGCCTTCGTTTTTTTACTATAACGCATCGAAACATCGGAGCGAATTATGAATAACCCTGTATAAACGTTGAGAAAAGAAAGTCTTTATTAAAAATTAGCTTAACATTAACGACAAAAACTCGAAAAAATCTGACCCTCAAACCTAATATTTAAACCTCAAAAATAATATTTATAAACAAAACCTCAAAAATAATTTTTAAACCTCTTGCTTAATACCTGAAATAAGGTGAAGGGCCACTATTTGATGATCCAGATCAAATCAAATTGATATATAACTTCTATTTCGCTATTTTTTTTTCATAATGACTGAGCCGTAAAGTTCAAGTTAAGTGAATGAAAGAATACTAAGTTTGATTAGTCTGAAATATTCTGAAATAAGGGCCATAGAGAGCACTTTGACTTATAAAAGAGGAATTCCTTTATATAATTTTATTTTCCTACAAAATTTAAAAATACATTTAATCTCAATTCCATGTTTTTTATTTCATTTTTTATAAATAGTAATTTTTATAATTTCGTGGGTTTTGTTATTAAATAACATTACGATTTTACTTTACATTGTTGTTGTTGTTGTTGGTGGTCATTAAGGCAAGGACTGTGATTGCTCTTTTTTTCCAATGGTACCATCTATTTGACTTCTACCACATTCATACGTCACACCCGTTTATAGGGTGGAAGCATTTATACATCCATTAATTTATCAACAGATCGTAATTTTGACCTGAACCAGAGAACCATCAATCTCCTATCACAGTATAACAACAGGTATAATTTGTCATGGGAACTTCTTTGAGACTTGGCAGATTTAACGTGCTCCACGTCACCACTTAATACGCGCGAAGTCTTTGGCTGCCTGGATTCGAACTCCCGTTCAGACGAGAGTGAGACCAGTATTTTGCCAACCATATTATACCGGCACTTTATGCCGTTAATCTGGAAATGACTGAGAAATAAGTTAAATGAGATTTTCCAAGTGTATGAAAAAAGAAGAATATCTTTGATTATCTTACAATATTTTTAACTTCTAATTCTTTCGTCAATATTTTTTGTAATTTGTCATTTTATTACAATCATGATTTACTTTTCGCTATCTATCTAGAAATAACTCAGACTCTTAAGTTAACTGCGATTTTTCTTGAAAATGAAACAAAGTTTACTTATTCCAAAATATTCGTTAGCTTCTAATTCCTTCTAAGCAAAGTTTTGTAACTCTTCTGTACAACTGTTTTAATAACATTTAAAAAGGCCGTACAAAACTATATGACCGCCGTAAAATTTTGATCTGTTTTTGAAATTTACGCCGTCTTCTGGAGACCATTAAAGTGCAAACTTAAAGAGAAGAAAAATGTTTACTGTTGCAACAAGTTTTATGGCAAAACAGGTCCCTAAGAATGTAACGGCCTTAATCTTTTTCTTCCTTTATATCTTATTCATTTGTTGATTTCCTTGAGTATCTCGAGTCAAGAGCTCTAGATTAGTTTTAGGACATTTTACTTGAATGCTAAAGCATTTTCGTCCGAAATGGTGCTGCAGTTTTATGCTTTAATACAGGGATTAAAATTTTCTCGAAAACATAAAGAGGTCTATCTTATCTCAATGCTATTATTTT